GTTTTCTTTTTTGGTGGGGTCTTTGCCTGGTTTTGGTATTAGGGTGATATTGGCTTCATAGAATGAGTTTGGGAGTATTCCCTCCTCTTCTAATTTTTGGAAAACTTTAAGGAGAATGGGTATTATATCTTCTCTGTATGTCTGATAAAATTCCGAGGTAAATCCAACTGGCCTGGTGGTTTTGTTCTTGGGTAGTTCTTTGTTTACCACTTCAATTTCGTTGCTGGTAATTGGTCTGTTTAGATTTTCTGTTTCTTTCTGGGTCAGTCTTGGAAGGTTGTATTTTTCTAGGAAGTTGTCCATTTCTCCTAGGTTTTCTGATAATACTATTTTTAAGGGGCATATATGCAAAGAATGGTAGAATTTTATATACTGGCCATGCTGGCAACTGGTATAGAGACTCTGGACTTCTCCATTTGGAATGGCCTTAGTGAAAATCTGGCATAAATAAGTTTGCAATACCTCTTGCATTGTGTACTTGGTAACTCTTGAAGACCGTCAGTGTAGAGAATACAGTGCAGTGTAGAGATTCTTCAGGATGCAAAAACAGATCAATTCCACAACTTTCCTGTTGGAAATGTCAGAATAAATAGAGAAAGAACCAAGCAGTTGGAGTCCTACTTACACATAGCAGACTTGGCAAAGTCCAGTGCTGTTACGTCAGCCCGCAGCCTTATATGTGTGGTAGGGCCCAGCCCACCTCTCCCTAAACAAATGCTCTTGAGCTTGGCACTTTTATCCAGAGCTAAGCTCCCAATTCTTCTAAACCCCAGAGAAGAAAAACCATTCTTCCTAAAAACTGTATTTACCTCTCATTCTTCCTAAAACCCCCGAACAGCAAAGATTTTTTGTTTGTTTTAATGTATAAACTCAAAAGAACAGGAGAGAAAGACAATAACAACATTTTGAGAACAAGAAAGCAGACAGGTAAGTGGCAATTGATTTAGCACACTGGGCAAAGGTAAACCCTAAACTGGCAATGGGAAGAGTTGAGAAGCAATGCAGTGTACATCATAAAACCTTCACAGGGCTCAGGAATTGGGGCCAAGGTGAAGGTAAAAAACAGAGGGTTGCTTGTAAGTGTGTTTAAGAAACAGACCTCTAGATCCTCATTCCAAAGCCATGCTGCCAAACAACTCACCTGGCACATCCTGGCCAAAGACTGAAAATTCTTGTTTAGAAAATTAAAATACATGGCTGCCTAGACTTGGGGAATACTAGGCACATTTGGGAGTGGGAGAATCATACTGAAAATGGAAATTAAGTGAAAGTCTGTGTTTTAAAGGGCTTTTATAATGAGACTGAGGTAAATAAATTTTTTTAGCTGGCCATCTTTAACTAGAATGACCAGTAATTCTAGAGCACATGATTAGATGCTATTAAAGGTTTGGGATGATAAAAGGGAGCTCTAACTCAAAATGCAAGCTAACAGTTAAATGCATCCTTAAATCTAGGTATGAATTCTCTTAGAATCCAGAGGCAACCAAAAGATGGTTCTTTGAAAAAATCCATGCAACTGATAAATCTCTTACCACAGGTACCAGGGGAAAAAAAATAAGACCTAAATTACTGTCTAGAATGAATGAGAGAACATCACTACAGACCCTACAGACTGAAAAATAACAAGTGACTATTAGAAACAATGTTACAAAAGTACATCTGACAATGTGGATGAAACAGGCAACTTCCTTGAAAGATACAAACCACCAAACCTCATTGAAGAGAAATAGATATCCCAAATATCTCCATGTTTACTAAAAAAATTGAATTTATAGTCACAAGCCTTCCCACAAAGAAAACTCCATCTCCAGATGATTTCACTGGTGAATTCTACCAATTACATAAGGAAGAAGTAATACCAATTCTATATAAACTCTTCCACAATATTTTAAATGTAAGGAAGAAATACTTCCCAGCCCATATCATAAGTAGTGTTATCCTGATACCAAAATAAGAGAAAAACATTACAAGAAAAGGAAACTATAGACCAGCAGCCCTCAAAAACATTGACACACATATCTTAATAAAAATTTAACAAATTAAATCCAGTGGTATATAAGAGAGGGAATATGTTAAGTCCAAGTAGGCATTTATTCTAGGAATGGAGGGTTGGTTAACATTCAAAAACCAATCAATATAATTCAGCATATTAGTAGACTAAAAACCAAACAAACCATATAGTTATCTAAGTAGAATCAGAAAAAGCATTTGACAAAATTTAACATCCTTTCATGATGGAACTCTCAGTAAACCAGGAATAGGAACTTTATCATTCTGGTAAAGAACATCTACAAAAATGCTAAAATTATACTTAATGATCAAAGACTAAATACTTCCTTCCAAGATCAGGTGTTCTTTCTCACTGCTTCTATTCAAGAAGTGCTAGAGGTTCTAGCCAGTGCAATATGGTAGTAAATAAACACACATAAGAAAAAACCAAATATCCACAGACTGGAAAAGAACAAGTAAATCTCTCTATTTGCAGATGATACAACCACATGTAGAATCCTCAAAAAAAGTTATAAAACTAGTAAAAGCATTTATCAAGGTCACAGGATGAAAGATTAATATATAATAATAAGTTGTATTTCTATGTGCTCACAACAATTAGAAATTGAAATTTTAATATACCATTTAAAATAGCATCCAAAAATGAAATATTTAAGGATAAATTTAACAAAATATGTGTAAGATCTGTATACTGAAACTATAAAACTACAACACTATCCACAAAAATTCATTGTTATAATGAACTCAAAATAGATCATAGACCTAAACATAAGAACTGAAACAAATTTCTAGAAGAAAATAAAGAATATTTGTGTCATTGGGTCATGCAAAAATTTCTTAGGATCCAAAAAGCCCAAAGTATAAAAAATTGATAAACTGGACTTCATCAAAGTTAAAATCTATTTAAAAGTCACTGCTAAGGAAATAAAAACTCCAGCCACAAAATAAAAAGAAGTATTTGAAAACTGTATATCTGGCAAAAGAATTTTACCCACAATATATAAAGAACTCTTACTATTCAATAATAAGTAGACAACCAATCCGAATTTTGAAAAATGGGCAATAAATTTATGTAGATGCTTCACCAAAGAAGATTTATGAATGATGAAAGAAATACATGAAAAGATATTCAACATCACTGGTCATCACAGAAATGCAAATTAAACTACAATGGGATATCATTATACAGGCACTAGAATAGCTAAAATAAAAAAGATTAATAGTAACAAACGGTGAGATTGTGGAACAACTTGAACTCTTTTATACTGTGCAATGGTCTAGCCACTTTGGAAAACGGTGTGGCAGTTTCTTAAAAGTTAAACATACCTTTACCATGTGACTTGATATTTTGCAAAGAAATTTGAAATTGAGGTTATTTCCTACAGTGATGAATATTTGCCTTGCTACTATCAAATGTTTGCTCCTCTGCTCTCTTTCTAAGCATTCTGTGTACACAGTAATTTTTTTGGTTCAATCCCAAGTCGTAGTATAATCTTACTGAAGACATTTAAAATGTCAGTTTAACCCAACAATGCAAGTAATTCAATTTAAATGTAAACAACAATGTGACTGTCTCTGACCAAGTCTTCCTAGCCATCAGCACTTGTAAGCCATCATAGATAGTAAGGTGTATTCCAGAGATGCTAAAATATAAATAAATTTTTTTCTTAGAACTGATGAAATGTGGTAATAATAATTATTATGACAATTATATCAGTCAGTAAATTAATAGTTACTAAGTAAGTCAGGAGTCTGGCTATTGTGTCACACTAGTTTTAGGGCCAGATTTGTTTTTCCTGTTTCTCATGGCAAACATCCTATGCCCACTAATCAGTTACCCCTTTTTTGGTCTTTCCCATACTTTCAGTTGATGTTGCTTTCCCACTAAGTACTAAATACATCATTGGTTTTACCATTAGGTGATTCTAATTCCATTTCAGGCAAGATCTCAAGGTGAATGAATGATTTAGCAGCTTTTAAAATCTGACTTTATAAAGAAGCAAAACAAAATTATCAAATGCCATGTACATTAGATAAGCAGATATGTTAACATGTTTAAGGAAAATGTTTTAAATGTTTATATGATTCTGTTATTGTTTATAGTATTTGCATCTTTGTATTTTGAGATAACTTTCAAAGAATGTAGTTTCATTAAGATCAATTTTTACTTATTCCGTAGGTGATTGGGAGCACTGGAATAAGAAAGTTCAGCCATACTATTACCCAACTGACAGTATTCCAGAATATTCATCAATTTTGGTTCCAAATGTTGACAATGTTAGAACAAATTTTTTGATAGACACCATTGCAAAACAACATAAAGTAAGTCTGATAGTTTCCTAGATGATCACAAACCATGTAAGAAACAAATCCCTTTTTACACACGGCAGGTAGAGAATTGAATTCCAGCACAAGGGGCCAGAGGCAGTGTCATTTGAGGAAAATGTATTCGATGAATGAATCCCAGGTTCCAGGATGTACTCCAACTAAATATCCCCTGACCTGCTGACTTCCAGCTTGCTAAGGAAACTGGTCATCTAATTATAAAGTCCTTCAATACGCCTATAGTCATATAACTATTCACCCATATTTTCTTCTAGTACTTTTATAGTATACATTTTGCATTTAAATCTTTAATTCAACTGGGATTTATTTTGATGTACATCTAATTGTAAAAAAATATGTTCAAATTAGTTGTATTAATTTACAGAATGCAAGAATGGCACTAGAACCATAAGATATTTCAAACCAAACATGCTATAACACCTTTCAATACGATTATCCTGTGATTGCAGGCTGTTTTGCTCACAGGAGAGCAGGGAACTGCAAAAACTGTAATGATTAAGGCCTATTTGAAAAAATATGATCCTGAAATACAGTTGTCCAAGAGTCTAAATTTTTCATCTGCCACAGAACCAATGATGTTCCAGGTAAAACCCGCCATTTGCTATAACAATTAATATATTGAATATCTTAAATTGTGGTTACAAGAAAATATATGTGCAAATAAACACTGATTTAAAAGAGTTAGAGTTGACATTCAGCTATTTAAGCCTTCCTAAGTCTGAGATTGAAGCCAAATCCAAGTAGCATATTTTGGCTTAACACTGAGGCTGATGCTGAACTTTGGAGTGTATCTCTTCTAATATAAATTAATGGCTAATGTTCCAATAACTTACTTTAAAATTTTTCACATTATCTATTTTAATGATATTTGTGCATATTAAATAAGCAAATGATAATCTACTCCAGAAAATTTCATCATTTTTAGAAATATGAGTTAAAGTCTAATGCCATAAGACAAATCATTTGCTTTTTTCTAGAGAACAATTGAAAGCTATGTGGATAAGCGAATGGGAAGCACTTATGGGCCACCAGGAGGCCGGAAAATGACTGTATTTATTGATGATATAAATATGCCTGTGATTAATGAATGGGGAGATCAGGTATGACTAAAATGCCTCCTAGAGGTGACATTTAAGTAGCATTTTTAGTTTTACATAAAAATGTCAATGACTTTCACCTTGCTCAGCCTAAGAACAGCTCGGGCCCCTCTAACTCCTCGGTTGGAGCTGACATTCAATAGTAGCTCCACATTCAATCCGTTAAGAAATCATGTTGGCTCTATCTTCAAACTGTATCCATGATTTGACCACTACTCATCACCTCCATTGCTAACAGCTAATAGAAGCTATCATCTGTCTTCTTGATCATTACAAATATCTTTGCATTGTAATGCCTCCCCAGTTTCCTTTGCCCCTTTCAATTATTCTCAAATTAGTGACAATTAAAACATGTCAAATCATAATCCTTCTTTGCCTCAGAATCCTCCCATGAGATTTATAGAACGTAAATGCCAAAATCCTTACCATGACCCAAAGAGCTGACACTATTTGATATCATCTACCCATGACTCTGTTCCAACCATATTTATTGATCCTTGGGTATAATGTTCACTCAGAGACTTTGCATTTACTATTTCCTCCACCTAGAATGCTCTTCCCCTAGATAAATAAATGTTTTGCTTTCTCACCTCCTTCAAGTCTTTGGTTATATGTCATGTGAGGTGAAGCTTCCCCTGGGCTCCATAGTTGGGTGCACCCCTGAGCCCTGCCTATTTCCCTTCCCTGCCTTATTTTCTCCCCCAAGACTTATAATATATATCATTTTATTTATATAGATACATACATACAAGCATACATGTGTATATTTTGTCTCTCACCACTAAAATGAATGCTCTATGAAGACAGGGATTTTTGTGCTACAACAAAGCCTGATACACAACAAAGCCATTCATTAAATGTTGGTAGAATGAAAGAGTGTCATATTTGAGAGGCTTGTGTGTCATCCACTCAGAGATACCCGGTTAGAATTTGTATATTCAGGTGTGGAGCTTAGATGGGAATCTGAAGCTAGGGTTACAGAGTTGAGATTTTTTTAGGATATGGGTTGAGATATCATCCCCTGAAATAGTGAGAAGTACAAAGGGCTGGGATGGAGCCCTGTATACAGTCTTGAGATGAACCTGGAGCTGAGCCTCTGAAAACAAGAGAGGACATTTTTTCAATAAGGAGGGAGTGTTAGGAGTGTTTGGGGCTGCAGGGAAGAAAGATGAGGATGGATAACCCCAAACCAAAACATTGGGTAATATTGAAAGCTCAGGAGTGAAACCATCCCACATTCTGATTGAAAGTATTTTGAAATGTTGAATGTTGAATGTGAAAGATAAAGATACCTATAGTAAGAGGTGTAGCTCTGAGTTCTGTTGTAATTGTACCAAATGTTCTATAACTTACCTATGTAAATCTGTTTTGAAATTAGTCTTATCAATGTGATGAAAAGCACATTTGACTTCCACAAGACATGTTTAACTTATGGTTTAGAGTTCATGGGTAGTATCATTAAAGTCAAATGGCCTTGAAGGTGATCATCAATATTGACAAACACTTCATTGGTAAGAGTTGAATATTTTCTTCTAATCTCATTTGTAATATTTTATAGGAGCTATGGAGGAATATGGTAATGATATGTTACTAAAATATTACTGTAAAAATTTTCAGATAACCAATGAGATTGTACGGCAAATGATGGAAATGGAAGGAATGTATAGCTTGGATAAGCCTGGAGACTTCACCAGTATTGTTGATGTGCAGCTCATAGCAGCAATGATCCACCCTGGAGGTGGTCGAAATGATATTCCGCAACGTTTAAAAAGACAATTTACTGTGTTTAATTGCACATTGCCTTCAAATGCTTCAATAGACAAAATTTTTGGTATGATTCTTCTTGCTGTTTTTTTTTTATAACATTGTATAATGGACATAAACCATGAAAAATCTTACATAAGAGATAAAAAGGCTTTGTCTGAAGTAGGGGTAAGTATCTGAAATGGAGAGCTCAATACCAGAAAAGAGAAAATAAACACAAGGAAGACTCTTGTTTATAGCATATTCTAAGACTCAAGAATATTTAGAACAAGCCTTGTTAAAAGCTGGCTTCATAGGTGAGCAAAACTTTGTGTTTTGGTTTCCTAGATGTAATTAATCAGATAAATTTGGGCAAATGAATGAATTTGGGCAAATCAATTTTAAGTTAACAATATAATATACCAAGTCAAATGTAACACATTGGTATGTAAATAAAAATGAGATTTTTGACACCAAATTTAGGCTCACATAAAATGTTCCATTAAAAATTATGTGCATGAAGATACGTAACAGGAACTGACCCATGCATGTGTGGACATTAATTATTTGACATAGCAAATACTGTAGCTCAGAAATAAAATAAATTAAAGGACATTTATTTAGTAATTCTTATGTGAAAATAACTCAAATTTGACCCCTATCTCACACTAAGCATAAAATTAATACAAATGGATTAAAGACCTTAATTTAGCAGGCAAAGTTATACAACATTTGGGAGAAAATATAGGAAAATATCTGAATTATCTGTAGGTAGGAAAGAATTTCTGAAATGAGAACCAGAAATCATAGACCATAAAAGAAGAAATGACAAATTTGACAGGATTAAAATTAAGAACTTCTTTTTATCAAAAAGGTAACATTGAAAGAGTGAAAAGACAAGCCCCCAAGTGGAAGAGAAGACAAGTAAGTTACTAATCTGAGTATGTAGAGAAACCCTATAGTCAGTCAGAGAAAAGCAAACATCCTAACATAAAAATGAGCAAAAACCCAAGCACTTTAATGAGAGGAAACTAATAAGCAAATGTAAAGATGATAAACATTAGTATTGAGGAAAATGCAAATTTAAAACACGAAGGAAATGCCATCAGATACCCACTAGATTTGCAGAAATGAAATATTCTCACAAAATCAGGCACCGGGGGGAATGTGGAGCAACTGAGGCACTTGTCCTCTGCCAGCATGAGCTACGTCAAGCCCTTTGGTTAACAACTGGGCATTATTACTGGTAATGCAGAACATGTGTATTCTCACAGCAGTTCCACTGCCAAGTATTAACAACTTAACATTTTTTTCCTTTATGGTTTCATTCTCTGAGTCTCATTTAAGAAGGCCTTTCTTACTGAGAGGTCCTACAAGTATTCACCTATATTTTTTTTCCAAATATTAGGTAGTTTTGCCTTCCATATTTAAGTCCTTAAACATCTGTAGTTGATTTTGCACATGGGCACCAGAAGACTTAATCAAGAATGTTCAAAGAACAATGCTCATGACAGCACAAACCTTGAAATGACCCAAGTATTTATTGGCAGTGAAATGGGCTCAGCTGTGTCATAGGTGCACGGCATAATGCTAAGCAGCAGTGAATGCGGACAAACACAGCTGCATGCTTCCACCTGGATGAAGTCCAGAAATAAAATGATGAACAAAAGAAGTCACAGGGAAAAACATAACATGATTCCATTAAATTACAACAGGAAAATTAAAGTTTGGAAATAAAGGTTGGAGTTCATAAACATAAGTGGCAAAGCTATCAAGAAAAGTGAGTTAAACTGATTCTCACCAAGTCAGAGTAGTGGCTGCCTCTGAAGAAGGAAGGGGCAGCAGACAGGGATGGACAATGGGCTACTCACGTACAGAGGCAATTGTGTTTCTCAATCTAGTCTGTATGTGAGTGCTTGCTTATTTGTTAAACTATTTTATACACTCTTCAAAATGACTAAAATTGAAAATTAAATATGGAAACAAACTGAGGCTCAGAGAAGTAAAATAGTTGCCCAATCAAGGCCACTTAGTCAGTGCATGTCAAACGGGTGGCACTAATCCTGTTTTCTGACTCCAGATCCTATGCTGCTTATATAACACATTTGCTTCACTGGAAATTGGAGATCTAGGATCATGAGATTTCAGGAAGCTAAAGGGCCTTGCAGGCATTGAGTACAACTAACCGTGACTTTGGAGGACAATTCCATGTCCCCTCAAGGCTTCTTCTTCAGTCTATGTAAATGAAGCCCAGTTTCTTAGCTGCTACACCCTTCATAAACTGCATCTCTGAGCAGATATACACATTCATATTCCTCTGAATATACCATACTCACAACTGAACATATTACTCAACGTGTAGTCTCACTGGAACAAAGTAAATCTACTTTTGTAGTCTAACACAAAAGACATTTTGAGACTTTAAACCTACACCCCTGTCTTTCCTGGGGTGATTATATCTGATTGTCACAGTGCTGGGTGTTTCCCAAGTGTCATTACGTCACCAGCCCAGGCCACGGTGTTGACTGAATGCAGGTCAGGAGATGCAGTCTTGATTTTAATTCTATCAATAACCTTGAAATAATTGTGTGTGTCCTTGAACAATTTGCTTTACCCCTCTGGGTCTGGTCTCCCTATCTGTGAGATGAGGAACTAGTCTAAGGTCTTTTCCAGCCCCTGTAGGCTTCAGGGTGAGGCCTGTTTTATAGGCTCTGGAGCCATGCCGCCTGGGTTCAAACCTCAGCTTTGCCCCTGCACAAGCTGTATGACCTTGGGCAAGTTACAAAACTCAGTAAACGAGAATATTAATAATAATATCTACCTCAGATTCCTTCTCATAGGATGTTGGGGGGATCAAATGAGTTAATACACATAAAATGCTGATCACCATCTATGAAGTGTCTCTGGCCCCACTGCTGACTTCTAGTTTTCGTTGATTCCTTGAGAGAAATTCTTAACATCACCCAATTCAGATAGTCTTGTAATGATTTATTCACTGGGGTAAACATGTACCTTGTAAGCTTTTAGTAAGCTTGTACCTTCAACTGTGTTTATTTTTCAGGAATCATTGGCTGTGGGTACTTTGATCCTTGCAGAAGGTTCAGACCCGAAATATGTGAGATGATTGTGAATTTAGTTTCAGCGGGCAGAGTGCTGTGGCAATGGACTAAGGTACAGAATCATCTGTTGTCAATAATAAACAAGCCAACTATCATTCAACTTAGTTCCCACACCATGGCTCATGCAGTTTTCATTGCATCATGTGTTGTGGTGTTTTTTTTGGAAAAGACAAATTAGATGCTTGAATTGATTTATGACACCTTCTTCTTCCAGGGAGCAAATATTCTGACAGAGTGATGCTTTCCATATGTATAAGAAATTACTATAAACCAGACACAGCATCCAAGATAAGATAGAATTTTGTCGGAGCAAGAACTCTGCTTTTCCACTTGTTACTCTGATTTGTAACTCTTTATATGTCTGTCTTCCCCCTCATCCACCAAACAATGTCTGATACTCCAGTGTTTGCTGACTGAGTGAATACATGGGTTTGCAGATAGTCCTAGCTAACTGAAAATTCTGACTTGTGTGTTTCTCTGAAGTGGAGCACGAATTAGTAAATGGAAGGGAGTGTACTTAACAAAACAGACCAGATTTTTTTACACAGATCAGTGAACTTAAGTAAAGCCCAGCAAACTTTCAGGATAAAGCCCAGCAAACTGTCACCAAATGGCTTCCCTGACCCAGGAAAAAGCAGTTACATGTAGGTCTGAGATAAAAACAACTTTGATAGATTTACCAAAAAAATGGCCAAGGAGATAGGATTGTCATAGTTCACTATGTAATCATTAGGCCAATTACACACATCTGGGCGGAAGCTTCTGTCCTGGGGAAACCTGGAGTGCCAGGCTTTCAGATTCCTGGGTGGACTGGGGGGATTCTACATACAGAATCATTGGAAGAGGCACTGGCCCTTAAATATGGTCCTTTCACAAATTATTTTCTCCAAAACAACTGTCCCTGGCCCTGACCCCAACATTACCTATCTCCTGACCCCACTTTATTTTTTCCACCCATGTCTCTTACCATTGCTATTTGTCCATTAGTTTGTTAGTCAATATCTTTGTTTCCTGTTTATTGTCAGGCTCCCCCACTAGAATGGAAGCTCCCCGATGGCAGCAGACTCAGCTGTCCTATTTACCATGGCATCTTAAGGGCAATGAAAGATGCTCAAACAGTCATTGAGAAGTGAACCAATCTTCTTCCCCTCCCAACCCCTAAATAAGCAACCTTTCTAGTATCTTTTCTTCAAAGCTTCCATCTCCACAAAGCACTTTTTCAAATCTACTCACACCTTGTATACCACTTCACCTTTTATTACTTTAAAGCAGGTGAGAAAAGAAAGAAGTTGACAAAAATTAAAGGGGAATATTAGAAGAGAAGGAAAGAAGCAAGTTGATAAATGAGAAGAGGGAAAAAAAGGAATTTATTTAATTCTCTTTAATGATTGCTTCATTTGCCAATGGCTGCCATCATAGCTGCTGTCTTCTACAGCAAAGTAAAAAAAAAAAACAGTATTCACACAGCCATATCCCTTTATTTTTGCATATTTGTAATATAATGTATGTTTTACATTTTGGTGAATAAAATGAACATTTTAGCTTGGAACTGAGCAAAGAGGGAAATTGAAAGGTAATTGATAAAATGATACTTCATTCTATCTTCCCTTGCTATCCCTTCCTTCATTCTATCTTCCCATGCTGTTTGAACTTGCACTGTGAATTAGTCTGTAGAATTACATACTCAACAGGTTCTTCTTTAATATAGAAAGGGCATAATCCATGACTAGGCACTAAAGAAAGCATTTGCTTTCCTGAATTAATCATATGGACAATTTGCTTTGTATATCCATAATTATCATTGTTTTTGGTTGCAAAAATGATAAAGATGATGTCAATTATAATCTTTATAAATGGCCAGCAATGCTTCCCACACCTCATACACCCCAAGTTTATCCTTTAACTGGTATCTCTCCTATAAGAATGTGTCACTGTTAGAGGTTTGCCTGTTTGGATTCTAGAAGTTGGTAGAAATTTTAAGTAAATTAGTGTTTGAACAAACCAACCAACACCAGAAAACCACCTAGTAATTATAGCTGCACATCATAGTTGCCTGTCAATTGATTATAGATACATTGTGACTTAAGTTTGGACCCCACAGTGAACTCTAGAGTATGATACACAAACGTATTTTTGGAAATCCAAAAGTACTAAGAACCTTAATCAAGCAATCTATGGAAGATAGTTGACTTTAGAAATGAGTATTATTGACTTTAGAAATAAACATTCATTTGCTCATAACTGCATAAAACCAATCTCACAGTAGGTTTTTTGTTATGACATATTTCCACATGTACACTAATGAGGTTAATAATGATTAGGAATGCTATTCCCACAATTCACACAGTTCTTAAGAACTCATCAAAGCCAGCTAATGGTGGCAGAACAGATATTGGACTCTACATCTGGTGTGTGATTCCTGAACCCATCCTATTCCAGGGCTTACGGTCTTTTAAATTCTATGTTGGTTTATTTAGGATATGTTTTTCCTGTCAGTGCTGTGATGAAAATATAAACTTAATCTTGGTTTACTTACTCAGCCTATTTTGTTTAAAATAGGATTTGTGAAATAAATATTTCTAAAAGCAGTTTTGCTTTTTATTTTACATGAAAAGCAGATTGAAACTAGTGCATTTTTTTTCCCATCTCTAGGTGAAGATGCTGCCAACTCCTTCTAAATTTCATTACATTTTCAATCTTCGAGATCTTTCCAGAATTTGGCAAGGAATGTTAACAATAAAAGCTGAGGAGTGTAATTCGATATCTGTTCTCCTGTCACTTTTCAAACATGAGTGTAACAGAGTGATTGCAGACAGGTGTGTTTTATAGCACGTGAGTTTAAATGTACTGTGTAAGAATTTACACTACTTCTTGGTAATATTTGAACGAACACTTAGTTAGTGTTTGAATGAACAAACCAACTCCAGAAAAAACCACCTCGTAATTATAGCCACAGATTGATTCCTGCATTATCTCCTCAAATAACGAGAGTAGGCTGAATTGTCTGAATTTGCCCTGGGCTTGTGAAGTGTTCACGCCACTTTCCCTCCTGCTCCTTGGTTGCCTTGAAAACGCTCTTGCCACTTTACTTGAATATTATTCAAAGGACATCTTTTTAAATCCCCACATTATCAAGAAGTTGAGAACATTCAGAGACGAATCTTAGTTACATGAACTTTCTAAAAAGTTTGAGCTCTTTGTTGGTTTGTGTGGTGAAATCTGGTACATAAGCTCAGTCATCTTTTGGAGTCTGTTTCCTCCTACAATATGGGTGGTAATGCTGGTCTTACAAAGTTGCGAAGGCACGCATAGGTGAGATTCATCAAATATTAGCCCCATCCTCCCTCTCTTCCCCTCTGCTATTGTAAGCCTGAGAAAGACCTTCATGCACTGTGTGCATGCAAACCCAGAAGAAGGTGCTTCTCCACTACTAACCGTCACTTCTGCACTACTATTGCAAGTTTTAGGAACTTCTGACCTCACCTAAGTGACTCATCTATATTGTTACAGAAAAAAATGTTCATGACGCTTGTTAAAATGATAAGCTTTATTCAGGGCTACCCTGATAGGCATAGGGGCTATTGTGGTGGAAGAGAAATTGGGCTCAACTCTGAATACAACAAGGGAAAAGTGGGAATTTATAGGTAAGGAACAGGACAGGGGATGTTGGTGGATGGAAAATTACCAAAAGGAAATATCAGGGGTAAGGAGGGATTCTGACTAAACTGACCTAAGTGGAGTCTTGCTGAAAGCAGGCCAGGGCATCAGACATTGGCCAGGAGTGATGAGGAAGGAGGAATTTGGTCAGCTATTGAGGGTGAGCAGATACCAGGAGTGGGGGTTCTGGCTAAGCTGATTTGAGAGGATTCTTGCTAATAGTGGGTGATTCAAAGGATACAAGTGCAAAGGGAGAGGTCTTAATTGGGAAGCCTGACTAAGCTCGGTCAAGGAGAGACTGTGTCAGAATTCCTATCAGTAATACTATCAGTGTCAGAACTCTCTTGGATGGAGTTGTGTCCTTTCTTGTCAGAAGGCAGAACATGTCGTTTCCTGGTTCCACGGTGATGGAGTGGCAGGTGGGGAATGAGAGAGGGTGGAGAACTAATCCATATTCAGCTTAGGAAAGATCCCTTTACATTTTGCATCTTTACTTCTGCCTTTTCCTTTCAGATTTATAACTCCTGAAGATGAGTCCTGGTTTAATGTACACATTGTTCGTGCAATTGAAGAAAACTTTAGCCCAGATGTGTCATCATATATTCTTCCTGAGCCATACTTTGTAGATTTTCTCCATGAGATTCCTGAGCCAACTGGTGATGAACCTGAAGACACTGTGTTTGAAATACCCAAAGTCTATGAATTGGTACTCACTTTCACCTTTACAAAAAGTTTTTTTGATCTTTCACCTAACTAGATATTTCTCTGTGTACCAGTGTCCTACCACGGAGTTGCCAAAATGTCTGTTAGTTATGTGTTGATTCATGTCATCATGCACCAACTATTTCTTACAATGAAATTTGGCAGCAGTCCCATCAAGGTCAAGTATAAGATGAGTATGCCTAAAATTATCATTACTATTTAATATTGCTTTGAAAGTTGCAGGCAATGCAACAAAATGGTAAAAAGAGAATATATTTAATTATCAGATAGAAAAAAACTTATTTTCACACGATATTATTATCTACTAATATAATGTAAGAGAACTTAAAACCTGTTTTAATACTAAGAGTTCAGCAAGATGACCAAGTATGATATAAATACAAAACTCAATAACTATACTAGAGGTTGATAAATGACAACTGATGGGCCAGTCCAGCTGACTGCCTGTGTTTTTGTTAGATTTGTGAAATAAGAAGAGTTTTTACATTTTCTAATGGGTAGGAAAAAAATCAGAAGAAGAATAATGTGTGAAAATAATGTGGAATTCAAATTTCAGTGTTTGTAAGTAAAGCTGTATTGGAACACAGCCATGCCCACGTGTTTATGTATTGTTTGTGACTGCTTTTGTACTACAAAGCAGAATTGAGTAGTTATGACAGAGACCATATCACAAAGCCTAAAATATTTATTATATTGTATGTAAGTAAAGCTGTATTGGAACACAGCCATGCCCACGTGTTTATGTATTGTTTGTGACTGCTTTTGTACTACAAAGCAGAATTGAGTAGTTATGACAGAGACCATATCACAAAGCCTAAAATATTTATTATATTGTCCTTTATAGAAAAATGTTGCCAGCTCTTGCCAAAAATCACAGGACAGAAAATGTAACAAAAGTGTTTCAGTCAACAGCAAGAAACACATAAAATATCTAGGAATAAGCATGATAAAACTTTACTTAAATAGCAACACATCATTCTTCCTAAACTAATGTAGAGATTTAATGACATTTGAAATAAGACTCCAAAGAGATTTTTTAAATAGGGTCACATAATAGTAATTTTGAAGCTCACATAGATCAAAAATTAAATGGGGAGGAACAGTCTGAAAGACAAATACATGAGTATTTACTTCAGAACAGTTTAACTACATAAACAATATAAAACTTCTATATATTTTTAAAAATTTATAAACATTATTAAAAAGCAAATAAAAACTAAGAAAAATGTTTGTTATATTCCAATCTCAATTACAATAGGAGTTGGTGCTAGACTTCTTGAAGGGAAAGGTCAGGAATGATTTCATATTGGAAACAAACTAATACAGTTAGGTTTCAGGCCTCTGAAGATGGAGATAACTAAACACCATCTAAACCATGACAAATTTTTGAGAATTCATTAGATGTTTTTTAAAATTGCTATTTTCTTTAATTTTGTGTCTTAAATATTTTTTCCTCTTTCTCTCCCCACCTGTAGGTACCATCCCTTGAGTTTCTGTCTGAAAAACTCCAGTTTTATCAGAGACAGTTCAATGAAATCATTAGAGCAACATCTCTTGATCTGGTGTTTTTTAAAGATGCAATGACTCATCTTATTAAGGTTCTACTATTGACTATTTGCTGATATAAATGGATCATGTAAAAGCTTAGTAAAGTTCACAGAGAAGCTTTTTAAGAAAATAAATATATAGTGTAATATAGTGTCCATAGGTTGGGTCAGTTCATTGTCTCAGAAAACAAAGGCTTAATCAGAACCCCCTTAATTGAATCCACCTACATGACAGCAAATATTTTTAAGGTCAAATTGATGGATTTAACATTCAGAGCTTTTGACATGCTGTGTAGAGAGTTTTACCTTCCTTGATAGTAAGTTGGAGAACCCTGTGAAGAAATATTCCCTCCTCAAGTTATATTTTGATGTACTGGGAATCCTGTTCCCCATGAGGAAGAGTTGATTCCTATAAAAATGTCAATTTCATGATTGATTTCCAAATTATGGGCAAACTGATGGGGAAAGGGTAAGATAGGTGTATAGGACTGGTGAAAAAATAGAATCCAGTTAGAGGCAGCACCAAAAAGGAGCATGGTTTGATCCAAATCTGAAAGGCCACTGAAAGGAGTTCTTTATTTGTGTAATCTGTATATCAAAAAGGAGTTTCCCCAGGAAGTCAGAACACAGAGGAGGAAGATTTGGTAAAGAGGAAGCAGTTAACTCTGCTTTTACATTATACATTTATGCATTAACTCTGCTTAATTATACATTTGTCTCCTGGAAAGTTGGTGAACTTCCAGATGTCCTTGGGCTGTTTCACATTCATTCATTCAACAAGTCATAGTTGAATACCCAGTGTGGCTAGGTCTTGGGAGCCTGGGACCCTGTTCTAGGTGCAAAGCCACATAAGTGATTAACATATTAAAACATATAATGATTTGCCATCTGTACTGGGATTTAAAAAAATATTTTTAGTGGAAATAATGAATTTAGTGATCCATCTAGACTTTCTTCCTAGTCAATAACATTAATATAAAAAAACCAGCTTTTTAGCATGTCTTAGCTAGCCTGCATTTAGATCTGAACTACAGTTCGAGCCTTATCTCATTGAGGAAATTAATCACAGAAAAGCGACACAACAAAGGCTGTTTCTCTAGTCTTTTTCTACAAATGCCCTTCTGACCCCATTGTAAGTACTTGTAAAATATTTCCATTGGCAGAAATACGATAGAGATAGTATTTGTTGTAGAGCTAGGTGTCTATATAAGGCAGTGTGTTAGACTAGCGATTAAAAAGCAGGCAATTCTAAACTTTCTGTAGCCTGGGAAGAGCAGCTCTATAATCCCATTGAGTCTGAAAATAATAAAATTACCACACATACAGAATATAGTTTTGAAATAGGAGATAGGAAAGCCAACTTGCTTTCTTTTTCATGATGCAAATACAGCTGGGCAAGGAAAGAATTTGAATTGAGTATATCAATATGAAACTGTAATTTTTAAAATTCTGAGCTATCCCATTAAAGGGAAAAAAAAACCTCATGTAGTCTAGAAGCATACTGTCAAACCTTGGACCCATTTAGAGTAAAAAAATGTAAACAATTGAGTTCTATTTTTTAATAAATACTATTTTATTTCAAAACAGATCTCACGAATAATTCGCACATCATGTGGAAATGCATTGCTGGTGGGTGTTGGTGGTTCAGGAAAACAAAGTCTTTCAAGACTGGCCTCTTTTATAGCTGGATATCAAATATTCCAGATAACATTAACTAGGTAAGATAAAACAATGTATTTTTCTGTAGTAATTTCCCTAGAGTAAAATGTTTACTTAAAAACAATTTGGTTTCTTTCTCTTGTAAGTAAACTTTTAATTTAAGTTTAACATACATAAGGAAATAGACACAAATCAAAGATATCACAAGGTAAGTACACCTATGGAGCAAGCCCAGAGAAAAAGAAATAGAACGTTACCAGCACCCCAGAAATACCTCTCATATCCTGTCCCAGGCGTTACCCTTCCAGGGATAACTGAATTCTGACTTCTAAGCCCATTGATTAGTTATATATATTTTTGAACTTTATATCAACCATATCATATGGGATTTACTTCTTTGCATGCAGTTTCTGTTGCTTGCACTGTTTGTGAGATCCATCCATGATGGTACATGTACCAGTAGTTTGTTCATTCTGACTGCTGTGTTGTTTTCCACTTCATCACATATTAGCACAATCTGTTTACCCTTTGTACTACTCATAAGCATTTGTGGGTTTCACTTTTTCACAAATTGAACACTTACGAATATTTCTGTACAAGCCTGAGTTTACTCCTAGAGATGGACTTGTTGCATATGCAGTATGCATATATTCAGTTTTAGTAGATCTGTGAAGCAGTTTCCAAAGTGGCTCTGCCAGTTTACACTTCCACCAACAGTTCATGAGCATTTTAATTGCCTCCTTGCCCATTTTTGATGCTGTCAGTCTTTTCAAGTTTAGCAGTTCTGCTGGAAGTAGTGGTATATCGTTGTGGCTTTAGTTTGCATTGCCCAGATAGCTACTAAAGCTGAGTGCATTTTCATCTCATATTGGCCATTTGGAGATAATCTGTTTAAGCCCTTTGCCCATTTATTTTCAGCTGGGGTGTGGATCTTTCTCTTAGCGATACTTTGGAGTTCCTTATCTATTTTTGTTAGGGTCCAGGCTTCCGAGGCTTCCCCAGAGAACAAACTACACAGGCATAGAGATGTAAATTCAAGCAAAGTCTTTATTCAGCTAGCTAGCTGAGGTCCAAGTCAGCCCGATGCAGCGGGTCTCAACAAGGACCCCGAGCACTCAGAGCCAAGGGTTTATATAGCAATTTCAAAGCACTTAACTCATAGCAATTTTCTATAACTATACATTATTCTTGCAAGACATATATCCTGGGGTTAAGCAAGGGCAGGGTAAGACTACTCCTCAATGGTTAGGGAGGTTCTGCACGATAAGCTTGGTATGTAAGATTTACTGACCAAGGTTAGCTGACCAAGGGTCACAGCTGCCCACCACCCGGTGCTCATGATTAACTTGTTTTTCAAGGCCTTACCCAGGCCCAGGGTTTGTTTTTTTTGTTTTTTTTTTTTCCTCTGAGTCACACTCTCAGAAAATGGTTTCTAGGTTTCTAAGATGGCTATGCTTATGTTAATTTACTAATCTTACTAATGCTTAGATTCTACATTTCCCCACTTTCCTTTGACCATTCCAATCATGGAATGTTTGTTTCTTCCTGCTGTGTGAGTGAATGATACTGCGGTCTCAGCATTAGCACCTGAACAGCACTCACTCTTTCCCTAACAAAGGCTATTAGCCGGTTTAAGATACAGGGACCTAAAGTGAGAAACAGTATAAAAATAAGCAAGGGCCCTGCCAGGGTGGATATCAGGGTTGTAAACCATGGGGATTTAGTAAACTAGGATTCAAATAGCCCTTGGCTGGCCTCTCGCTCTCTCTTCCTTTGATCTGGTCTCTCTCTAAGTTTAGACATTGAATCTCTTACTATTCCGGAATGGTCTGCTGTTAAGGTTTAGCTAAGTTTTATTAGTTCTTTTTCCTGACTCTAAATGCTCTCTGCACTCCTTTACAATTTTGTACTTTGTCAGAATGTGTATTATAAATATCTTCTCCCACTCATTGGCTTGCCTTTTCACTCTCACTGAGACTTAATTTTAATGAAACCTAAGTTATCAGTTTTTCCCCTTTATTTTAGTGCTCTTTGTATTTCATTAAAAAATCTTGTTTACCCCAAGGTCATGAAGATATTCTCCTATGATTTCCTTAACACTTACAAATAAAATTTACTGTTTTTTACATTTAGATATAACCCATCTTGACTTAATTTTCTCATTAGCTCTGAGGTAGGAGTTAAGATTTTTTTTTTAATACAGATATACCAGTTAATCCAGCTCCATTATTGAAAAAGCATCTTTTCCCTGCCACATCACAGTGTCATTTTTTTCCCATAAACAAACTGCTCGTATATGTGACTAGAATCTATTCCTTTGGTTTATTTATCTATCTTTGCACCATTACCCACCGTTTTAATTACTGTAGCTTTCTAATATGTCTTGAACAACTCTGTTGTTGTTCTTTAAAATTATCTTGAATACTGGCTCTTTGTATTCCCATATAAATATTACATCACTTTTTCAATTCACACACACACATACAAACACACTCCCCCTACTCTGCTGCCAAATAGGTAACAATTTAAACAAGGTTTAATATGCATCAGCATTTTATTTTTTTAATTTGGTTCCACTACATGCCCATCAACCTCGTGTGGCCAAGCACACATTGCCGTACTCACCTCTTCAACACGAGAGCAGGTCACAAAACCAAAGCCCCTGGAACGCATTGTTTGGGGGTCTCTCATCACCACACAATCTGTAAGTGTGACCCATTTCTCAAAATGTTCTCTCAAACTATCATCTGTAGTTTCAAAGCTCAGACCACCGATAAACAGTTTTTTAGCTGCTCCGGTTCCTTTGGATCATGGGCCCTCCCCCTGGTGGTGGCGGTGACGGCCGGAGTTGGCGTACCTCCATTTTGAGACTATACAAGAGCATTTAAAAAACATAAAACATCAAATACCTAGAGATTAATTTAATTTAATAAGTTGCCAACATTTTGAATTGGTAGACTTCATATAAAAAACAAATATATTTCTGACTTTCTAGAAATAAATTGGAAGATATGGCAACACTGTGCCTACATTTCCAGGTGACTGGAGCTGAGCAGCAGCTGCCCCCTTAATTGGGATTTACAATCCTCCAGTTTACCAGGGAGCCCCCGAGCCCTGCAGGGAGAATGTGGATTGTGTTGCTCACACAGGCGCTTAGCAAACCACCTTACCAGTTTCTCTTTTTAATGAATTTTCCCCTTGGGAATTGTTTTGAAAAGGATGTATGTTCTTGTTGATGGAGTTCCTTTTACTAATGTCTGCAAGACTTTTTACTGTAGTGCCACCCAGAAGAAGGGGGCTGGGTCTTCTAGTTTAAAAATAAGTTAACTTATTCATTTAAGTGCTCTTAAACCACATCATTTCTAATGCCAACAACCACCTTTACAATTAGACATTATCTTCATTTGGGATGAGTAAACAAAAGCTGAGAAATGTGAGGGAACTTTTCTAAAGCTGCAGAATAGGGATTTGAACCCATGTCCTTCTGGTTCCAATGCCCACAGTCTTTCCTACGGCTTATATCAAACTCCCTATGACTTGCAGTGTGAAACCTCCTTCAAGTGAGGGTTGCTTTTAGTCCTCGTCATCAACTTACTCTTTTAGTCCTTGTAAATGAGAATTTATAATCAACACTTCAGAAAATGTCTGCTTTACATTTATACATCACCTCAGCCCTGGTAGCATACACAGTTAGTAGGAAACAGAGTACAGAGAAAAACAAAGACCAAGGTCTTCTTTCCTTAATCTGTAACCATGTAATTATAAAATTTCTATTGTGTATTATCACATTGGGTAGTGCATCTTTTTCTGTAGGCTTTCTCTGTATCTAGACACTTAGTAAGGTGTACCAGTTACCACTGTATATAGTTTATCACTAATTTTATTTATAATTTATCTTTACTTTCTTGCCAATACAAATTCATTCAAATTTCAGATTACTTTTAGATATTATGCATATATTTACTTGGGTAAAAATCTGCTGTTCAAGATTGTCAGATTGGAGGGAATAAAAGTTCATTTTCCTTTTCCCAGTCACTCTGCATGAGTTACTTCTGGTAAATTCTCCACTTCTCACTTCTCAAGTTAAATGAAAGTATTTGTATTTGTTTTGAATGGTGATGTATAGATGTTTTGATCTAATCTCTGTTTTCTAACATATACTATCACTTAATATCTCTTGGAGCAGGTGTAAACTATGCTTTAATTATCCTGGGAATGTATTTTCAGATAAATTATGTCTATATGTATTTGTTAAATTTAAAATTTCCTATCACTTTTCTTCTTAGGTCTTATAATGTGAGTAATCTAATAGAGGACTTAAAAGGTTTGTACAGAGTTACTGGTGCTGATGGAAAAGGTATCACCTTCATCTTTACTGACAATGAAATAAAAGATGAGGCATTTCTAGAATATCTTAACAACCTGCTATCTTCAGGAGAGGTAGGTCTCAAAAGTGGAGAGAAGGCTCATATTTTAAAAATGTAAATTATATTGGAATAGAAAAAGTGGTAACCTTTTAGAACTGAGGCCATTTAGCACACATTTTTTCATCTTAAAAATGATTAGCATATGAAATTTGATGGATTTTTTTGAAGTTCCTGTGAAATTAATGCTGCCAACCTCCATATTTTTTGTAGGCTTTGTTCCATTTTAAATATGATTGCTTATTTGTCTCTTCAATCTTCAATTTGATCCTATAATTTATTTTAGGAGGAGCAAAATATCTGTCTGATAGTCAGGAGTGTAAAAAAGGGTTGTAAGAGTTCTGCTAGCTGTTAAGTAGATATTTGTGTTATCACTTCTGACATCACTACATCACTTGTGTCAGCACTTCCATGGCTACTCACATGATTAGGGCTTCATTAGAAGGACTCATGGGACTTGGCACATCACTGTACTCATGGCTAATATTTATTACAGCAACATAATAAGGACTAATAGCTAGAGGAAAGAAAAAGACACCACAGGTGGAGTCTGGAGAAATCCACATGCAGACTTCCTATGTTCTCACCAAAGGGACCAGAATGTGCCTCCCCTCCAGAGTGAAGTACAGTAATGCACGTACTGTGTTTCTGTTCAGAGAAGCCTGTTTGAGACTCAGAGTCCAGCGATTTAACTGGAGGCTGGTCAAGTAGGCAGTCCTGCCTAGGTGCAAATACTAAAGCTCCAGCCTCCCAGAAAGAAAGCTGATGATCACCATGTATCATAATGTTTCTGTAAATGGTCTAAGCACAGTGGAACCACCTTATCAATTAGTCATGAAGGAGACATTCCAAAAGGCAACTTCCTGATTGCCAGCCAAGGGCCAGCCCTGCAGGCACAGCCTTCTCAAAATCAGGCCTGCTGTGTTAGCTCTTCTCTGCACAGTGGTGTCTAATGATGCTTACTAGTGCATGAGCTAGTTAACTACTTTGGAGAAGGGACTGCTGCAAAATGGCATTGTAGGGAGATCCTGAACTCACCTCTTCCCAAGGATACACCAAATCTATAGTTACATATAGATTGTTTGCCTCTGAAAAAGATCTGAAAATTAGATGAGCTTCTTGTGCAAAACAAAGCATAAACAGGCCACAGTAAGACAAGTAGGAGAGGCAGAGACACGGGCTCATCAAAATCCCCACCCCTAGCATGGCAACATGCAATAGAAAGGGATCTTATCAGTCTGGACTTCTCATAGAGGAACAGTGGGTTGGTGCCCCACATCAAGCACCCCGGCCTCTAGGATCTGCCTGGAGAGATGAAGCCTCAAAACATCTGGCTTACAAAACCAATGGGACTGATATCCATAGGACCCAAAGTACTACAGGAAACAGATACCCTTTTAAAGGACTGTTGCATGTGGTTTCACTTGTCCTGAGATTCAGTGAAAAAACAGCCGTTTGAAAGCACCAGACTACAAGTGAAGAAGGTTCATTTTGTAATTTAAAAGCATCTGCTGAAGGGGCAGAGCACAGATGAAACTTTGCATGGAGATGGAGGTGCTGTTGGATGCCAGTTTTGCACTTTCCACCTACTCTGCTAGCACAGGCAGGTGAGCCCAGAAAAGCACCTCCTGCCGCCTTGCAATGACAGGCAGGAGGGAACTGTAGTACACCATTCCACTGCCTTCCTGAAGCCAGAGGGCACAGGCTGTGGCAGCACTCCCCCATTCCCTGGATCAACGAAGCTGGTATAGAGGGAACGTACCGTATAGGCCATATATGACAAACCCACAGCTAATACACTCAACAGCAAAAAGCTGAAAGCTTTTCCTCTAAGATCAGGAAAAAGACAAGGATGCCCACTCTCCTCACTTTTATTCAACATATTATTGGAAGTCCTAGACACAGCAATTAGGAGGAAAAAATGAAGGCAGGAAGGCAGGAAGGAAGGAATGAAGGAAGGAGGGAGGGAGGGGAGGAGGGAAAGGGGAGGAGGGGGAGGGGAGGAAGAGGACAAAGGGGGAAGGGGAAAAGGGGGGAGGGAAGGAGAGAGGGAGGGAGGGGGAAGGAAGAAAGGAAAGGCACTTAAATTGGCAAGGAAGGACTAAAATTGCCATTATTTGCAGATGACATGATACTATATATAGGATACTCTAAAGACTCTACCCAAAAAACTATTAGTCCTAATAAATGAATTCTTTACATTTGCAAGACACAAAATTAATACACAGAAATCTGTTGTGTTTCTATACACTAATAATGAACTATCAAAGAAATCAGGAAAAATCCCATTTACAATTGCATCAAAAAGAATAAAATACCTGGGAATAAATTTAACCAAGGAGGTGAAAGACCTGTACACTGAAAACTATATGGATAAGAAGAATTAATATTGTTAAAATGTCCGTACCACACAAAACAGTCTACAGATTCAGTGCAATCCCTATCAAAATTTCAGTGGCATTTTTCACAGAACTAGAACAAATTCTAAAATTTATATGGAACCACAAAAGACCCCAAATAGCCAAAATAAAACTGAAAAAGAGAAACAAAGTGAGGGGCATCATGAGCCCTGATTTCACACTGTATTCCAAAGCTAGAGTAATCAAAACAGTATGGCTTTGGCACAAAATAGATACACAGATCAATAGAAAAAAATAGAGCCCAGGAATAAGCCCATGTATTAATTTTTCACAAAGGATGCAAGAATATATAATGGGGAAAGGACAGTCTCTTTAAAGAATGATGTTGGGAAAGCTAGACAGCTACATGCAAAAAAATGAAAGTGAACCGCTATCTTACCTCATGTACAAAAATTAATTTAAAATGGTTTAAAGACTTCAATGTAAGGCCTGGAACCATAAAAATTCTAGAAGAAAACATAGGTGTTAAGCTCCTTGACCTTGGTCTTTGCAGTGTTTCCACAGATCTGGCTCCGTAGGTAAGAGAAACAAAAGCAAAAATAAATAATGGGAGTACATCATACCAAAAAGGTTCTGCTAGCAAAGGAAGCCATCAACAGAATGAGAAGGCAAGGTACTGAATGGGAGAAGATATGTACAAATCATCTATCTGATAAGGGGATAATCTCCAAAATATAAAAAGAACTCATATAATTCAATAATGAGAAACCAAATAATCTGATCAAAATATGGGCACAGTATCTGGATAGATATTTTTCCAAAGAAGGCAAACAGATGGCCTACAGACACATGAAATGATATTCAACATCATTAATCACCAGGGAAATGCAAATAAAAATTACTATGAGATACCACTTTACTCCTGTCAGAATGGCTATTACCAAAAAGACAAGAAATAACAAGTGTTGGCAAGAATGTGGAGAAAAGGAACCCTCATGCACTCAGCAAAGTAGGTATAAAGGGAATGTACCTCAACCTAATAAAGATAGGAATGTAAATTGGTGTAGCCACTATGGAAAACAGTCTTTAGATTCCTCAAAAAATTTAAAATAAAACTACCATATGATCCAGCAATTCTACTGGGTATCTATCTGAAGAAAATGAGAACACTAATTTAAAAAATGCATGCACCTCAATGTTCACTGTGTCATTTTTTACAATAGCCAAGGTATGGAAACTAAAGATAAATTCCATGAATGGATAAAGAAGATGTGGAAATATATATGCAATGGAATACTACTTGGCCATGAAAAATAATATAGTCTTGCCATTTGCAATAACATGGATGGACCTTAAGGGTATTTTGCTATGTGAATAAGTCAGACAGAAAAAGACAAGTACAGTATGATTTCACTTAAATATGGAATCTAAAAAACAAAACAAACAAAACAAAATCCAAACTTACAGATACAAAGAACAGATTGGTGGTTGATAGAGGGGAGGGGAGTTGGGATGCAAATGGGTAGAGCAGATCAAGAAGTAAAAATTTACCATTATAAAATAAGTCATGGGGATATAATGTACAGCATGGGAAATAGTCAATAATACTACATTAACTTTGTATTGTGACAGATGGGAACCAGACTTGTTTTGACGATTATTACATAATGTATAAAAGTGTTAAATCACTATGTTGTATACCTGAAACTAATATAGTGTTGTATGTCAATTAAACCTCAATTTAAAAATACCCAAACATGTTAATAAATAAATAAATGCCTTGGAACCAAGATTGAGACTGGCTATTAGTCAGAGAACAGAGGGCTGTCACTGGACATTTTAAAGAGATGATTGGAATGGTAGAGAGAGAGCTTTTTGATGATAGCTATTTGAGCAAAGGAAGACATAATTTGCTCCTAATTAAACAGCTTAATAAAAAGTTGCACTCTTGGTAAACTCTGGAAGGCCAAGGCTTTGACTGTGGAGATGCAGGAAAAAAGATGAAAAAAGTGACATGTAGGGGAAGAAAAAGGACCAGTGCTGGCAGTGAACTGGCTGTGGGGAACTCTTAAAATACACAACATTTTCTTGTCTCTTCCCGAAAGATCTCCAATTTATTTGCGCGGGATGAGATGGATGAAATCACCCAAAATCTGATATCGGTGATGAAAAAGGAGCTGCCTCGCCACCCTCCCACCTTTGATAATCTGTATGAGTACTTCATTTCAAGATCAAGGAAGAACCTGCACGTTGTTCTCTGCTTTTCTCCAGTGAGTTTTTATTTTATTTATATCTATTTAAGCATTACTTATTTAAATGTACTTGGTTTACCCTCTCTGATGAAATGATTTGCTCAGAAACTAACATTTGTTACACTGCATTAAAATTAATATTTTACTGCCACCAATATCCACTGACCAAAATCTCATACCAAAGTGTGACAATTTAAAATACTCATCTTATTAGAAATTCCTGCTTAGCCTACAAGTTTCATCAGTTACCTAGAGACATAGGCAGTTTGAATTGTAATGGCTTCAGTGATATAATCTTGTCTAGCTCTACCTCTAAGATAGGCATACCACTTGGAATGTCCCTGATGTAGGTTGGAATATCTGTAGCTCACTGTGATGTCCAATATAGTAGCCATTAGCCATGGATAGCCATTAAAATTTTGGTTAATTAAAATTAAGTAAAAATAAAAACCCAATTTTTCAGCTCCACTAGCATATTTTAAGTGCTCAGTAACTGTGTATGGCTTGTGGCTAGCATACTGGAAAGTACATACATAGGACATTTCCATCATCATAGGAAGTCTATTGGGCAGCTCTGCTCTGGGAATTTCACTAACTTACAAGGTAACATGCTTAATTTTTAGATAGTCTAATAGCCAGAATGTTTTCTAATGGTCAGAAATCTTTCTTCCTTACAGTCGAATTTTTTTCTGTCATTTCCCCTGTGTTTCTGTTCCTATTCTGTAAAATGAATCTAATCCCTCTCCCACATACAGCTTCTCAGATATTTGGAGAAAGATTTTGAAGACTCCCTAGTTACTCTTTTCTAGACCAAACACCTCCCATGCCTCCCGTTATTCTTGCTTGTCCTAGAGTTTAGGCCTTTCACTGTCCTGGTCAGCTCTCTCTAGAAGAGTTCTTGCACATCAGTTTCCTCCTAAAAGACAGCTCCTAGAATTGAGCCTAGATGCAGTCTTAGGACAGGGAAGAGTATGGAAGCATGACCTTCCTTCATCTAGACACAACTTATATACTAATGCAGCTCAAGGTTTTTTAAAATTTGTGATGTCACACCATTGGCTCAGAATGCATAAGCCTCTCTCTAGCCAATTTATAATCCCTTTGTGTTTCTAATGTTCTCTGACTTTGCTGTCCACAGGTTGGTGAGAAGTTCCGAGCCCGTTCTCTGAAATTCCCTGGCTTGATATCAGGTTGCACTATGGACTGGTTCAGTCGTTGGCCAAAGGAGGCTCTGGTTGCCGTGGCCTCCTATTTCCTTTCAGGCTATAGTATTGTCTGTTCTAGTGACACTAAAAGACAAGTTGTAGAAACAATGGGCCTCTTCCATGACATGGTTTCAGTGAGCTGTGAAAATTATTTCCAAAGGTAAGTGACATTACATAAGCACGTCAGCTACAGCGCCACAGCATTCTCTCCAAAGAGGAATTAAATGTGGCATCCAGTAAAAGACTTCATATTGATTGAGCATGACTTCTCAACTGCACTTAGGTTTTTTCTTGCTTTTGATTTTCTAGTAATTATGTATTGAAAAGATGATAAACGAGATTTAAAAACTAACTAGTGTCCACACTTAAGTACCTCTTTTCCTCCAGGCCTCAAAGTAACAGATGCTTAATGAACCCCTTTGTTTCATTTGCTTAGTTGTTTTCTGAAAATGACTTAATGAATTCATTATAAATATTTAAAATTAATTTCTTATTCAAATGCATGATTTATTTTGATTAAGGAAGTACACAGTTTTAAAGTTTCATTATTACCTTATGTTAAGGGAATATTTAGGTTTTGTATTTGCATCACTTAGTCTTATCAGTGTTTTCATGCCAGTAATTATGAAACAGCATTTTCATTGACTGAAGGACAGTCCGCTCACGAAAAGCACCAAATGATGTTTGTATGTGAAAGCTGGTGTCAACAGCTCAAAATTACAACCTTTTTATTCCCCCAGTGTGATAGTCACTGTGTATAACCAAGAGGTGTGAGTAAAGGTGGGCCGAGGGCTTTGGGGATGCTGAACCTGCCAGAAAGACTTATATCTGTTTTTCTGCATAGAAAACCTGAATGGCACTTTCATTGATTTTCTAGGGGGTCTCTAGCTCACAAAAGTTTTTTTATCCCAGATCCTTTCCTTTACTCAAAATAATACCCAGACCACTCCTCTTAAATAGTCCTGGATAAGCTTCTGGATTCACCTGATGAATCATGTTTACTAATTCTTATTGTTAGGAAGATTTTCTTTCTACTTAACTTGAACTCCTCCTGCTACCATCACCTGTGGAGAGAAATTTTTTACCTCCGTTTCAGCTTCAAAAACCTATATATTTTGCTAAAATTTGGTGTATCTTTCCAAATTTTTCATATTCTTCTGGGTTGAAGAAGTTTATTCTGAATTTAATGTAATATTTGCATAATAATCTAATGATAGTCACATAAATGCCCAAATTGTTAAAAAAAAAACTTTTTTAATGTTAAAAATCTTTAGAACTCCAAAAGTGAAAAATTATTTTAAAAGGTAAAATGATTTTATAGTATGTAAGGAGCTCTTCTTGACTTGGTGTTTCTCCTGTATAGAATTATTCCTTTTATTTATTTCTGTTGTTAAATACAACTACTATAGAAAAACCCTGTAGTGAGTTGCATGTGTGTATCAGGTGTGGCTGACTTGATTTCAAGGACGATCCCGAGAATCAGGGGGGTGGCTGGTTTTCACCTCTGTGAGCCCACCACAGCTGGTCTCTAGTGGTGACAGGGTGTGTGGCAAATAACAGACAATGAAAACAAATCGCAGCACAAATTCATTTCAACCACTTACCCTAATATTTGCACAGAACCTTAAAGTTTACAGAGTGTATTTACATATGCCATATTTTTTTTTCATCTTCACAAAATTCTGGCAAGTGTAGGCAGTGATTCTTTTCTTTCTACTTAACTTGAACTGTTCCATATGATGAAACAGAAGCCCAGAAAGGGTAAGTGTGGAGTCAAAGACTCCCAAAAGATCAAAACATCAGATACTGAGTTCTCTCCATCTCACCTCTAGGGAAACCATTCACAATTTCTGCCCTCCTCTTAGTGAATCACTCTCTGGAATTATATGAAGTTCACAGTGGGAAGAACATCTGTGTTAATATTTTATGGGAGTGCATTGAAACGATGGAGACCAAGATGGGTTTTATGTTCTACTTTTAGATACCGCCGAACAGCACATGTGACACCCAAGTCTTATCTCTCATTTATCAATGGTTATAAAAACATTTATACTGAAAAGGTGAAATATATTAATGAACAAGCTGAACGTATGAATATTGGTAAGTAGGATGGAGTCTTTTAAGGGCTTGGTTGATAGTGATCCCAGTATTTGTTTGGTGGGTATTGTTTTGTTTGAAAATAAAATACTGACTTTATTGTTAGTAATAGATTATTTTGAGGGATGCCCTTAAAAGCCTTTCACCTGTCAAGAAATTCTGGGCAGCAGAAAATCTAAACAGGTGGCATCCAGAGCCATTTCTCCCAGCTCTTTCAACTCTGGGCCCACCCTGTTGGGCAGAACACCCCATAGTCACTGAGCCACTGCTGGCAGATGGAGAGAAGCCAGCTCTTGGGAACTGACCACAATTTCAGTTTTTGTTCCATTGCAATTCACCTCAATTTCTATAAACTCTGCCACATTAATTAATACATCTCAAATTTCTAACAGCGGAAAAGGAACACCAGAAACAAAAACAAATAAACAAACTCCCCCAAAGAAATAGTTTACCTGAGCAATGGTTTTCTGAGCATCCAGTATGTGTAAATAGGAAAAGCACAAACCGGCACAGCTCGTATGTCCAGGAAATGTTTGGAAAAGAGTCCAGACACAGTGCTTTCTTTTCACTTCTACACAAAACTTGGTCACATAGTGTAACTGAACTCCAGTGTCTGTGAAGTTATAATGATGATAGAAACACTGTGAAAGAAACCTTCATTTGTTGTTTTCCTCATGGCTCCTCTTGCAGCTCTTCTATGTGAAACCCTAGAATTGGTGGTGTGCTGAAGACTTGTACTAGCTTCTGAGAGTTGATTGTTAAATTTTCAGGAATTTCATGGTTATTATTATTCAAAATTATTAAAAATTAAATCATCTAAATTTGAAATTAAATAAATTATATTAAAAAGAAGGCAATAAATACTCAGAAGTTATCACTTATTTTTATTCTACTATTATTAATATTCTTATGGTTACTTGTTCCTATTCTATCTGTATGGTAGAATATTATGTAATAGTGTGAAGAAGCTTAATGTGCACCATCGTGGAAGTATTTACACTATGGAAATTGGAAAACATAAATGAATGCTCCCTTTCCCACACAAGAGACCCAGATGCTAAACATGTACCACCCATACACTATTGTCTAGAACTCAGAATGGGAGAAATTCAGTTAGCCAGTTATTTTGCTCTGTAGTACTGAAAGTTAAAGAGCAGTTGCACAAGTTTTAATAGTTTTCATTTTTGTAGCAAAAAGGATTACAAAAGTGTTAATATATTATCTTTCTCATTTGCCATCTCAGCTGCATTATTACTGAACAGAAAAAAAATTATAGTTACAAATTGTTTGCAAATCAAGTAGAGCATAAATTTGTCAAATAATTTTCCTGACTAAATTAATATTATGCAATGTGGCACTGAGACTTTCTCTCAATGCTAGATGATATTCTTCAATCAGAGCTGTTTTCTTCACCCACTGTTGAAACTTTAAGAAATATGGTCAGTATTCTTGCTCCAAAGATACGTGCATTTCTAAAGCTTTTATCTTTAAATAATTATCTAGTGTTTGTTATAGTACTTATATGGTGACCTATAAGTAGTAAATAATGAATAAATATTTGATGACTAAATATTCATATACTCAGCAAAGTGTATATATGTATTTGTAAAGGTCTTGACAAGCTTATGGAAGCAAGTGAATCTGTTGCTAAACTGTCTCAGGATCTTGCGGTAAAGGAGAAGGAATTGGCAGTGGCTTCTGTAAAAGCAGATGAAGTGAGTTTGCTGTTATTCCACACTTGTGGAATACGGCAATGTTTTCCCGTATTAAAAAAAGCATTGTTTTAAAATGTTGTTAGAAAGTAAACCTACAGATGATTTCTGGTAAGACAATGTTCATGAAGACCTTCAGGTATTTTTGTTTAGCTCATACTAAGCTATAGCTAAATTATTATGTCCTCTACTTAATCTGAGACTATTCTTTTTCCTCTGGTTCTGTCCATCTTCTTGTTCTCACTCATCTGTTTATGAAATTCCTGCTTGACTGTAAGTTATATTTGGTGTTCTCCTTAAGGCCCATGCATGCTCTGGGTTTTGAGGATGGCCCAAATCTCATCTGAAATTTGTGATAGGGATATATGTGTGCTGCTCTTTTATCTGTGACCCCACCAGTCGCAAACTGCTTTCAGCTTCCACTCACTAGAGCAGTTAAGAATAGACACTTAAGTCCTACCCTTTGCCAGTGACTGAAATGAGAGAGAGAGCATCAGAGAGGCGCTTAGCATAGTCCTCACATATAGAAGGTGCTCAGGAAATGTGAGCTTTTATTTTTATTACACAAGGCTTAATATGGTTTCTGACCTTATTTCCATTACACTTACTTGAATTGTTTTCATTTTCTAGAAATTACGTAAAATGGAAGTACTGTTTTTCTGAAAGTTTAAAATATTTATTTATATATTCTAAGCTGGAGGAAAGTTTAGGAAATAGAAAACTTCAAGTAGCTGCTCAAAAGAATTACTTTAATACATCTTAAAATGTACATGACTTCGATGGGGAATAAAGTTACTCCTATTCATGTTTTATATTCTATTGCATAAATAATCTCTCACTACTGAAATCTGTAATTTTGCTCCAAAGGTTTCTATTTGCTGTCATGTGCTTCCTCAATTTCACAGGTATTAGCAGAAGTCACAGTAAGTGCTCAGGCTTCAGCCAAAGTAAAAAATGAAGTGCAGGAGGTTAAAGACAAAGCCCAAAAAATTGTGGATGAAATTGATAGTGAAAAAGTAAAAGCTGAGACCAAACTCGAGGCAGCTAGACCTGCGCTGGAAGAAGCAGAGGCGGCCCTGAATGTGAGCAATGCATGGTTATCCCTAGTAGACACCACGTTTCATTACATGAAATTAACTGTGGAGCTTTTATAGTCAGAAAACCAAACTGAATTTTTATGCGATTTATAATCTCTGAGTCTTCAGCCAAAGGAAACAACCGTGTCTGTTGATTACATTTTACAATTTCTTAAAGTCTTCTGTTCCCATAACATTATTTTCATTCCATAAATCAGTCTTCCATAGAACTAAGAAATAATCCTAGTGATTAATAGTCTAAACATTAGCATGGGGGATTCAGATCACATAGCCTTACCAGTTCTTCCAGCATCTTCCCCAGGTTACATCGTGTGCCCTTTTAAAATCCTCTTGTGGGTTCCTGATGCTTTTGGGATGAAGTCCCAGGCTAGGCAGCCTCAGCTGTGGGGCAAGAAGGATGCAGCTCTGGAGGTAGGCAGACCTGTCTTTGCCTGTCATGACCACCACTTCTTACATATATGATCTGGAGTAAATTTACTTAACTTTCTTAGGTCTCCATGGGGATTGTAATTCCCCATTGATCCTCAAAGGATTAATATAAGCATTAAAAGTAATGAATACAGTTTTCTGGGCACAGAGCAAAAACTCGGCAATATTGGTGTTGCTGCTTCTGGTGACCCGGCTCCTATATGCCCCTTGAGTTCTTCTGTCACTCTGCCCCTCCCCACAACGTTATCCAGCCACACAGAAACACCTTAGGCATCTGGAAAAATTGTGGGCTGTTTAAAGTGTTTCTCCCTTGCCAGGAATGGTTTTCCTGACCGTCATTGCCTAGTAAGTCATTTGTCAAGACCAGGCACAGACCTCTCACTCCTTCCAGAATGTTTTTAGTTCTTCTGGCTTTGTTTTCCTATCACCCCTGTGCTTCTATCATGGCAGATACTCCTAATTCAGGTTAATCATGTGCTTACTGTATTTTCCTTGGAAGACTATGAGGACAGGACTATTTTTGTTTCTGTTTATTTCTTTGTTTTATATTGGAGAAATGCCTGTAGTTGTTGAATGGATACATGATAGTCATTTTTTAAAAATGTGACAATGACCAGGATACTTTCTACACCCCCACTCCCTTTATGGATCCTATAATAACATTCAAAAAAGAGAAATCATTGAACAAAAGAGTTTTAGGAGTTTTTATTAATCATATGATTCCTGCTCCTTCTTGCCTTGAATGTCGAGTAATGTCTTAATTTAAAAATCCAGCTAACAGAAACTTCCAAAAATATTATTATGAGGTGTATGGTATAATAACTTCTCCTTGGAATTCTTCCCCCATCCACAGACAGGGAAGCCCCCAAAATTAAGACTGAAGGTGAGGTTTCCAATATGCAGGGCCCTGATCCTCTTTTAATATCCACATATAACACAGATTCTGTGCTTTGAAGATGCAAGTTATCTGAATGTTGCACTTGAATGAGACTTGCTCCTAATGGGGGTCTGAGGTAGTGAGCAATGAATGGTAGTGATATTATAAAACAATTAGTTGAGGGCAACAGGGGGGAAAAAACACCAGAAATCCCAAAATAACAGTGAAAGAGCCATTATGCAAAAAATCTTGGATTGCAAACCCCTGAAGAGGTAATATTAGGGGCTGGGGAGAAAATACATATCAAAGTTTTCTTCTTTAATTGTTTAAAAGTATTAGATTTCCATGTAGCTAATAATACTACTTAATAAAAAAATACATTGATTCCTAATCCCAAATACAGACTATCAAACCAAATGATATTGCCACAGTCAGAAAACTTGCAAAGCCTCCACATCTTATCATGAGAATCATGGACTGTGTTCTGCTATTATTTCAAAAGAAAATTGACCCTGTCACTATGGATCCAGAAAAACCTTGCTGTAAGCCATCATGGGGAGAATCATTAAAAGTAAGTGAAATCTATCTTTGCAAGTCCTGTAAGCTACATCAGGGGTCCCTAGTCCCGGACACTCAATATAAACCAGACAACTGCAGATAAATATTGAAGAGTTTATCCTAAACCACATCTCCCAAAACATAAGCAGGGAAAGATTTTAAAGCTGATATTCAACAGTCTTGATGTCAGTCTAACCTCGTCTCCTAAAGGGGGCCTATGTGGCTGATGGCATTTAGGTGCACTCACTGGACAGGAAACTTAACATAGGTATTTTCTCTTTACTCTTTCACAGTGGAAATTGAATGACAATTTGAAAATTACAGATTTAAGTGGGCTATTGCCATAGTCTTGATTTGTATGCATAGAGCAAATCAGCTGTCACTTCTTTGAAAAAGTTCAGTTTAGAAGTTCAATTTAGAAAAACATCCTGACTCAGCAAGAAAGAATTTATTTTCACCCAGAACGTATAGGTTGTAATACTTTTTTCAGTTGATGAGTGCAGCAGGGTTCCTGTGGAGCCTTCAGCAGTTCCCCAAGGATACTATAAATGAAGAGACTGTCGAGTTACTACAGCCCTATTTTAATATGGACGATTACACTTTTGAAAGTGCCAAGAAAGTCTGTGGCAATGTGGCTGGTCTGCTGTCTTGGACACTTGCTATGGCAACATTTTATGGTATCAACAGAGAAGTGTTGCCTCTGAAGGTAAGTTTCCCTTCTCCTTTGTAAATCAATGTTTAATAAAATTGATCATTAGTATTACTGCTACCATAAGACAAAGCACAAGGTTGACTAATAAAGGTAGATGTCCCTATTGTCATGTATGTCCTCTCACAGCTTCTCACTCTTTTTATATCTGTTGTGTGTTTCTTGGAATGCAAACAAGAAACCGAAACCAACTTGTTAACTTAAACAGGAAATGAATTTGTTGGGAATCATAAACTGTCATAAAAGGAAACTTGCCATTTCTTTAAAGTTTGGAGATTAGGTTTGGAGACTGAATTTGATTACCTCTTTTCCAAACAACATTTTAAGATATTAGGATTAACATCCAGAAATATTTCAAATTTCAAAGACAGAAAGCTAACCTTACATGCATCTATGAAACAACCAACCAAACAAAATGAAAAAAGTTGCTTATACAGGAAGAGAAATCAGGATGTCATAGACATTCCACAACTGTAAATACTAGAAGATAATAGGAACACATTGTCAGAGTGTTGAGGAGGAAATTGCAGTGGTCCAAGAATTCAATAATTGGCCAAACTGCCCTTCGTGTATAAAAGAACAAAAGGACATTCTTAAGGATGCAATTTAATATTGAGTGGTACACACACACACACACTCACTCAGTCACTCAGTCACTCAGTCACTCACTCACTCACTCACTCACTTACTCACTTCTCTGGGCTAGGCCTTCAGATCTAAAAGAACAGCAGACAATCTCAGAATCCTCCCCTCCCACCCCTCACTCCATAAAACTGAAAGAATTTACAGTGGTTGTGCCCCATGGAGTAGAAAATGGTAAATAGGTGGGCAGGGAGTTGTGGGTTTTCATAATTGCCTTATAGAAATGGCTGCCTTTTTGAACCCTCTATATAGGTAACTTTAAGAAAAATAGAAAGAAAATTAAAAATAAGAATGTTTTGACTAAGGGAAATGATAAAATACAGCAAATCCACCCAAACTAAAAGATACTAAGGGAGAAATGTCACTATAAATGTAGAATTTAAGAGAAAAAGCACTTACGAGGAAAGTTTTTTTTTTTGGTATCATTAATCTACAATTACATGAGCAGAGAACAGTTATTTTTTATTGATAAAAATTATGACCCATAATGAGATTTAATCATAAAAATGCTTTTTGAAATAAATGAAATGTTATCAAACTACATAAAGCAAAATCCATTAATATCTTAGTGAAGATTAATAAAAATAATATTGTAATTTAAGATTGTGGCAGAGGGCCAGGCTTACGGGCATGCTGGCTGTGTCTCAGGACCCCCTGTTTAGAAGGGCCCATATGTGGCTTAATGCTCTACTGTCACCCTCTTGAATTCTTAAGAATTTTTTAATAAGAGGCTAGAGGCTGAACATTTTTGTTTTGTACTGGGCCCTGCAAATTATGTAGCTAGTCCTGAGTAGGCGTAAATTGATAATTATATAGAGATTTTATGCTATGTTATTTTCAAGGTTGAATAGCCACGTTGGACTTTCTTCAATATAAGCAAAGAATATAAAATTATTTGTAGTGTCCAAGAAACATTTACAAAAATTGATCATAATTAATGCCAAAAGAAGACCTTGATTTAGTCCCCAAAAGCAAAAATTGCTGAGGCCTCATTCTCTGATTATAAGTAATAAAATTAGAAAGTTTACAGTAAAAAAAAATCCAGTTACTTTTCTTTAGAAAATGACAAAAAGCTAACTACCAAAGTTTTTGTGATGTGACCAAAATGGTACTTTCTTAGCCCTTAAATCACTGAAATGAAATACTCCTGTACATACTCACAAGCACACATGTACATCAAATTTATGGGAAGTGGAAGAGAGCTAATAAAAATAACATTAAAAATTAGAGAAAAGTAGCAGATTTAAAGAACTCATGCTTTCCAAAAACAAAGTATGAGAGATATGTTCTTGGAAAATCTAAACAAGAAGAAAATACATATAATCACAGATGTGTAGATTTAAATGGTTGAAAAACAATTTTAAATATCTATATGTAAACACATCACAAAATTTAAATGAAAGGAACATTTTCTGGAAAAGAAGGCTAACTTCAAATAAATCAAATATTGAAGAAGAAAAATGTTTTACCTCAGAAGACTGTAGGACTATGATATGTTACTGATTATTTTAAATTTCTAAGAAATAGATAATTACCAGGCTGTAGAACAATACTCACAAATTATCTCTGAATAAGATCATGGATAATTTTTGTTCTCCTTCCTATACAGTGCTGCATTTTCCATTTTCTATATTGAACATTAATAATACAAATTATCTCTGAATAAGATCATGGATAATTTTTGTTCTCCTTCCTATACAGTGCTGCATTTTCCATTTTCTATATTGAACATTAATAATTTAAACAAATAGAACTTGAATGAAAAATCTCTAAGACCCTCTGCTTTTCCCCAGCTGGAAGCACTGAAACAGATCATCTCCAAATACCATGTAGGGCAAAAATTATGAAATTTATGTTATTAACAATCAGAATCACAAATATTTTGCAGAGCTAATAGAAAGTCCACACTAAGTACCTCTTTTTCCTTTTAAGGTCAACCTGGCCAAGCAAGAGGGCCGTCTGGCAGTTGCTAATGCTGAATTGGGCAAGGCACAGGCACTGCTCGACGAGAAACAAGCTGAGCTGGATAAAGTACAAGCAAAATTTGATGCAGCAATGAATGAGAAAATGGTGAGATTAAGTATACAAAGTCGCTGAAACAATGTATTGACATTTTACACATGTCCTGTGTTTAGAAATCAGGCGAATGTTTATGATGAAAAAATATTTACCTGACTGCCTTTATTCACTGGCTATGTCTGTCGACTAATTTTGGATCTTTGCTACTGCAGAGTCTTTTCGTGTGGTTCCAATAATTGTTTTTTGTAAAAATAAGTTGTGGTGGGTCATATCCAAAGAGTACTGAATTTGGAGTTAGAAATTGGATTTGAGATCCAGCTCAGGTACGTATTAATTATGTGATTGGAAGCAACTGATCTAGCTTCATCTGTCAAATGGGGATCCCAATACCACCTCATGGGAGAGATTATAAGCAGTGGTGGTCTGGTCAATGATCAACAGTTGGCTCATTGTGGGGTTGGGGAGAAGGGAGCAGGGGAAAAGAAAGCCCTGATTTGCAGTGTTTGCTGATTCCTGTGGTGTAGGTATTCCTACCACTGCCAGGTTTAACCTACCAAGGTGATCACTGAACACAGATCTGGAAACACTCCTTACTGTCTCCACTACACAGACATAGCGTGTCTTCACATGCATCTTCAATAAGTCTGTGAGCATAGACAATGCAAATGTGGTAAATAAGTAGGAAGCGAAGAGTTTTGTCTATTATCTTTGCCTTTAATGTAATTTAATTGTAAGTTATATAATTTAATTTTTAATAATGGCTGTGTTAGACACCAACGCACAAATTTTCTGAAAATTTCACTATTGGCTATTATGAGTTGATACAAGCTGTCAGCAGCATGCTACTGTTGTGTAGAGTTTTCCTGGGAAAAAATAAACTGCAAAGAACTCCAAATTATTATTAAATCCACAACTTAAAATGGTGTATTTTATTGATTTGATTCTGTTTTGAAAATATTTAATAGAAACACTGTATTAATCTAAATGACTAGGATTCTCTCATAAAACTGCTTCCCTTGAGATTTCATAAGATAAAATAGCTATATTATGAATTAATTACCAGAATTTAGTATGTCAAGTATCATTAACAATATAATCTTAGATTATATTTATTTTGCAAATCAAGAAATTCCTGCATGTATTTTTGCATGTGAATCTAGTGGGTGTTTGATTAAGCACTTAAAACGTTCTTTGAGACATTCTTCCTTTATGTATGTAGGATTTGCTTAATGATGCTGATATGTGCCGGAGAAAGATGCAGGCAGCTTCCACTCTCATCGACGGACTGAGTGGGGAAAAAGTCCGATGGACTCAGCAAAGTAAAGAGTTCAAAGCTCAGATTAATAGGTATCAATTTTGGTCTTTGTTAGAATTACTCTCCTTCTAAGTCATCATTCCAAACTCCACTCTTTTGTGACATTAGAAAAAATAAAATCCATCTCTCTCGTGAGGTGTTTTCTCCTTCACTTCCTTATGTCCATCTCTGAATCCCATTACCGAGGGAGTGCTTACAGCTTAAGTCATGTGCTCAGTAAAACAGAGAAGTAAGAAAATTTCACGAAACACTTAAATCTCAATTTTGGTTTTGCAGTGGGAGTCTTCAGTACAAGAGTGCTTCTGATACTGTTTGGATTTGCTAGAACAATCTAGATTCTTGCTCCAGTTCTATACTCTTTACCTCAGTGGTTTTGAAAGTGTGGATCAATGGTTCTAAAATGCAAGGGTATCTTGTGCTGGTGTCTATTGGTGTCCTCAGAAAACTTTAAAAGAGGAGAATGAAAGAAGAGTAGGAAAATGGCAGAAAAGAAGTACAAGGAGGAGAAGAAATAAATAGCTTAATCAGGACTAAAGCCGAACAGGACCAGGGCACGGGATAGGAAAAGGGCACGTCCCTTCCTAAGAGGCGAGGATAGGGACCTGTCGCTTCAGGAAGCAGCCTTCTCTCTGGCACCCTGGCTCACCCGGATGTGGCCACTCCTACCCCATTTGGGTTTGGGGGCTCCTTTTGCTTGTTCTCTCCGTGTCTGCCTACCAAGTGTTAGGCAGGAAGCCAAGAAGGATTTTGCCTAGAAACAAAACAGAACTGCACTGAGGCCTGTCAGACTCCTTAACGGGAATGCGTAAAATATGTTAGTGATTCTGTGGGTTTTTTTTTAACAGACTCGTGGGTGATATTCTGCTGTGCACTGGATTCCTTTCCTATCTTGGTCCCTTCAATCAGATATTTAGGAACTATTTGCTTAAAGATCAATGGGAGATAGAGTTGAAAGCACGGAGGATTCCTTTCACTGAAAACCTGAATCTTATTTCAATGTTGGTGGATCCTCCAACTGTAAGTGTTACTTTCCTGATATTATTTGAATTGCAGTCTCACTTTATTTCTTGCTAAGAAGCCCAAGTATACCTAATTTTTCCTTGTTTCATTCATTTGAAAAGATTGTTTTGAAAATGCTTAAGTTACAGAAAAAGAACTTCTCTTTGTGCTATAAAAGTTCCTTTGGATTTTAAGAAATCTTGCTTTCAATTAATACCAGTTGTATTACTGTGAATTAAAAAGTTAGAGGCTTGGTAAAACTGAGATCTTCTTATAACTCTTCATTATTTACACTACTCCTATGAAGTCACATTCTCTTACAAACATTTTGGGTGAATGTGGACATTAGCTAGGCTGTAAGTACTGGCATTAAACCTCCTTTTGACCATCAACCATTTTTTAAGCCCTTATGTTCTCAGTGTTCACCAACCATGCTTCAAAATACCCAAATCAGTTTTAATATGCAATCAATTTATAACACTTCCTCATAAGTATAAAAATATAATGTAAAGGACTAAACTTAGTCTTGGGTATTAGAAAAAGGATTTATTAGATTATGAGTTCATTTTTTTTTAATGTTACTTGGTTCATGTTTAAAAGTTTAGGTTTTCTTAGGTACCTGCTGCATAGTCTCAATGGAAAAACTATGTCCAATGTTAAATTCTTTTGTATTGTGGCATTTTTTATTACTTATGAAAGCATTCTTGTTCTCCTTTGAATGGCCATATCCATTTCCCATTATTCAGATTGGCGAGTGGGGGCTGCAGGGATTGCCAGGAGATGACCTTTCAATTCAGAATGGCATCATTGTGACAAAGGCCGCCAGGTACCCACTCCTTATAGATCCGCAAACTCAAGGCAAAACTTGGATAAAGTCAAAGGAAAAAGAAAATGACTTGCAGGTATGTACTGTTTGGCACGTGGGAAAGTTATCTTAAAATGACAAAATTTTCCCAAAATTTCAATTGAACCTGCCAGTCATAAATCTGTCATCTTTATGAAAACTGTCTGCTAACTAACACTGTCGAGTTTTGTAACAGCGATTTGGGGCAAAGGCTCTGATTATTTTCTCCCTTTTGTGTCCTCTCTTGATTTCACTCTCCTTCTCTCTGTCCCTTTCCCAGGCTCTATTGCTTGTGGCAGGGCTGGATGTGGCTTTTATTCTGGGCCTTAGGTTTGGGCTTATAGGAAAACAGCAAAAATAGATGTTGTGCTCCCTCAGTTTAAGGCCATTTGTGCCAACCTAGCTCAGGCACTTGGTACTACATAGCTTACTAGTGTCCAGTATTGGAGTTGGACTTTAAGATGTTAAAATAAGCTGTTAATTTTAAGATAGGGGTAGACAAGGATAGGATTACAACGTTCCTCACTCCCTTAGGAATCTTGTTACCACTGATATTTCAATTCAACTGCCAATATGGACTTTTAGACATATTGGTCCCAGAGCTGTAAGCCTCCCTGCTCCATATTTTTACTGGTGCTGTTCTACTAACTAGAATGTCTTTCTTTACCCTACAGCCCACTTCACTTACATCCCAGATAAGTATCTTAAATGTGCCTCAAAGTCCACATCTAACACTACCTTCATTAAGACTTTTCTGTGTCCCCAGCTTAGTATAGCCTATCCTAAAGGTTCATAACATCTTGGTTGTATTTCTGTTGTGGAGTCTGTCTTGAATTATTGTTCTTTGCACTTTTGTTTTCTGTCTCTACATAATAAACTTCTTGGTGGCCAGGTTTATGGTTTTGTACCATTTTTATGTTTCTGCACAGCTCATTATATACAGTAGGAATTCTGAGATTTCTTGAATTTAAATGAATTGATCACAGGGTATTATCATTACAGAATAAAAACTAGAAAAATCATGTAGTCATCTTGGTAAATGCAGAAAAATGACTTGGTAAAATTCAGCACCCATTCATGATAAAGCGTACAGCAAACTAAGGATAGGAAGCTCTTCCTTAATAAGATAAAAAGGATTTTATAAAAGGCCTATAACAAACACTGTATTTAATGGTGAAATATTGAAAGATTTCCCTGTGGGTTCATGGCTTTACCAGCAAGTGGACGCTGCCTAGCGCTTAGGAGCACCCCAAGATACTCCTACTTCATTAATACTCCAGAGCATCCAAACATCAGTCTGTTTACTTAGAAAACCCAGAGAAATCCCACAAAGGAGCAGAGGGTATAAATGGAGGGAAAGAGCTAAAGGAAATGGGGGTAATGGGAATGCAGCTTCTGAGGAGTTACATGCACAGGCGGAGTGTTCTGGAGCACACCTGCTCCTGAACTTAATTTCCTGAATTCAACTCAACTATAATGTGCCCCTCCCTCCATTCCTCTTGCCTCCCCTGGCCGTTGATCTCCCTGATCATAACTTTGTCTTCCCATTTTGGAATTAAATTCATTGATAACCTTCAGTAATGTCCTTCCTGATGCAACCCCAATCCCAGGAACCTTCTTCAGGAAGTAATAGAAATATGCCAGAGATACCGCCTTACTTTAAAAACTGTCAACTGTTGGGATATGAGCAGATTGAGCTATATTTTTCTTACTCAAAAGACATGATTTTTCTGAATATGTGTATAAGTACATGCATGAACAGCCATAAATGAAAACAAATGAAATAAAATTATTATTTCTTACTGGGGAAGGAAAACAAAATGAAAAATAAGGCACTTTTAAAATGAAAAACAAAACATGTTTTTACATGTTCAGGATTGTACTCCACCTTGGCAGCTTTGCCAAAGCCACCTTCGGTGCTGTCTCCAGGGCCTACAGCTCTGATTTCTGGAAAGAGAAGGTATTCATTCAGTTTCCTTACAAAGAATTCACTGACCAGCTTGTAAAGACCCAACACCAGGCTCTGGTGTTGGCTACCACACAGTATTTCTACACTAGAAAAATCAAATGAATTAGACCTGAAATTATGACTCCAAAATACTGTATCAAGTTTATAAAAGATATGAAAAATGGTTAAGGGTAATTTTCACACTGAAAATTTGAAAATTGTTATTCCTTTACTTGGTGTATTAGAGTTCTCAAGAGAAACAGAATAGGATATCTATATATAAAAAATAGACATATGGAAAGACATTTATCATGAGGGATTGGCTCATAGGATTATGGAGACTGAGAAGTTCCACAGTCTGCCGTCCGTAAGCTGGAGGTCTAGGCAAGCTAGTGGTGAAGTTCCAGTCCAAACTCCGAAGTCTGAGAACCAGGCAAGCCAATGGTGTAAATCCAAGTCCAAGTCTGAAGGCCTAAGAACCAGGAACTGATGTTCAGGAGCAGGAGAAAATGGATATTCAGCTTTAGAAGAGCAAATTCACCTTTCTTCCATCTTTTTGTTATATATTCAGACCCTCAAGAGATGATGGAGCCCTTGGCATTGCTGAGGGTGATTTTCTTTACTCGGTCTACCAATTCAAATGCTAATCTCTTCTGCAAACACCTTTACAGACACACCCTGAAATAATGTTTGCCAATTATCTGGGCATCCCTTAGCCCAGTCAAATTGACATATGAAATTAACCATCACACTTGGGAAGGAAATCACAAAAATAAAGCTTACTTCTTGGGAAATAGAGCAGGACAATTACAGGTAGGCCTTTGGGACCTTGTTTCATCATCTAAATCATCTTTAATAAGCCAGCTAAAGCTCTTTGTTTAGATTCATTTACCTTATCAACTATGGTGAGGGCTTTCACAGTATGTCATTGGTATAAATAAAGCTATCCACCCAAGGCAACAAATTCTTTCATGGGCAAGATTTTTTGCTTTAGTTATTTCCTTTTTAACCAAAACAGGACAAAGGTAGACTTACATAATTTTTCAATTCCACATCATTTTTTCATAGCAAATGAGAGATATTTAAAAATTCCACCCTCCTAAACACCTGCAGTTTCAATGGATCTTCTTGTATCTTAAGATCAGCAATCACAGTAGCATAAAGACAATAGTTGAATTCAGAGGATGGACTCGAAGAAGGTAGAGTTGAGGACTGACCCCTTGGGAATCCTCACACTTAGTATTATGGGCTGCATTTGTTCTCCTCGGTCCTTGTCCCCTCCACAGCAAAGGATTGAAAGGCAGAGACACAGTAAGTAACAAAGCAAAGTGAAAGTTTTATTTCTTTATTTGAGGGGGGCGGGGAGCAAAACCACAATTTTATTTTAATGACATTATGAGAGGGTGTGGTTTGGGCAGTTCTTAATTTTGTTCAATTGCGCCTGTGTTGGGACCTGGTTGGGACCTGTTCGCTCTGGTCCCATAGGCAAGAAGTTACCTTCCTGCAAAGCCTTTGTTGTCTTCATGGGGCCCCCTACTTGGGCAGTTTGGGCAATTTTTCCTTGAACTTTATCTTCCCCTTGTAGCTGCTCGTATCTGTCTTTGTATGTAACAATAGGAGGAGAGATCATGGAATAAGAAAAGGTTCAAAGCTCACTGGCTAATGCAAACATCAACCAGCCCAGTGTATCTCTTTTAACTAATAACAGGCATTGATCTAAAAATGGGGACCCCACCAGGCTTTCAGTATTCTATTTCGCTTTAAATTTAAGATAAAATAAGTATATGTAATCTTTTAGGTTGATTGTACAGAAAGTTTCTATCATATTCTTCCATTAGAATACATACATGGGCCCTTGGTTTGACTCAATATATTTCTGACATGCTCAGTTTATTGCTTGTTCATATTGTAAGGATCATGACAAGATAAATGAGTATCCCAAATATGTAAATTACATTGATTCTCCAAGCTATCTAAGTTTAAAAGTGTTAAAATTTGATGAACAAACAAACAAAACAGAAATGGGCTCAATTTAACAGGATAAACTGATGGTTACCATAGAGGAGGGGGTGGGGGATGGAAGAAATAAATGAAGGGGATAAAGAGGTATAAACTTTAATTATAAAATAAGTAAGTCACAGGAATGAGAAGTACAGCATGGGGAATATAGTCAATAATATTGTAATAATTTTGTATGATGGCAGAGGTAACTATACTTACCTTGGTGAGCATTCAATATGTTTGTATTTGTAGAATCACTGTGTTGTACACCTGAAATTAATATAATATTGTATGTCAACTATACTTAAATTAAAAAAAATAGGCTTTAAAGAAAAGAATGAATCCTTGATTACTTCCCTTCCATCTGTAGGAGCAACTCTGACATTCCATCTAAGGAATAGTGCTTGATTCTCCTTTGATCAGCCCGACCCCATTACAAATACAGGGCTTCCGCAAAATGACAGCCCAACTCTTGAAAATTAATTTTTCTTTGTTACTCTTATTTGTATAGGAAAATCTTCCTATATAGCACTTAAAATTCTTAGCCACTTGTCCAACACATCTCTTGGTTTCCGCTTAGGAACAGGCACATTCTTTGTAACATTTATGTACTAATGAACTCTTTATTTTTTAGGTAACATCTCTGAACCATAAATATTTTCGCACACACTTGGAAGACAGCCTCTCCTTGGGCCGACCTCTTCTCATTGAGGACATTCGTGAAGAACTGGATCCAGCCCTGGATAATGTATTAGAAAAGAATTTCATTAAATCAGGCACCACTTTCAAGGTGAGCTTTATAAAAGAGAGAGAGACAGAAAGAAAAGAAAGGAACAATGGCGACATCTACTTATCTTTTTGAGCATAGCAGCAAAAGCAATTTCCTGCAGGTGGTAGTATTTGATACAAAGGAAAAAATTATTTCTAAACTCATATTCAGTGTTTCCTTTTTTAAAAAATAGTATATGAAAAATACAGGGGGAAAGCAATAATATTAGTAAGAGTAGCCATTTAGCTGAAACTAAATAACATATTAGAAAGACTGTCCAGTCATAATATACTGGTGTGATATACACAAAATATATATATACTAGTAGCTCTGACAAAATTGGTTTTGCAAGCCAAATATATATACATCTATACGATAAAACCTGCATTTCCCCACTAGAGAAAATGGCATTTTAATAAAACCTATGGGTATTGATTTGTTCATTTCTCTATTAACGTTGAATGTAAATTCAACGACTTTGCTGGAAGCTATGAAATACTGTTTCCGATCATTGGTGATGACATGAATTGTTTTCAGTATAAGAGTTTCTTTTGTAATTGGTGTGATTCTCTACCTTTATGCTTCTTTGGTTTTATTTCTTGATCAATGACAGCATTTCTGATTGAGATTTTTTGCTTTGGAATTTAATTTCATTAATATTAGTGAATTAAGTAAAGAATGCAAATATTCTCATTAAGATAGATTTACTTAGAAAATTGTCTTCATAATTTGAATTCTTTTATATGCTGTATTTAACATGCTAAAGGAGGCTGTAGGATTTCCATTCCTTGAACGGCTTTTAGAAGCCCCCAGAATCTTATCTGCAATGTGAAGGTGTGGTGCCTGAAAAAGTGGTAGCGCCTTAGTGATGTGGTTTTCAATTACATGCAAGAATAAGGTTAATGACAATTTTAAGTCATTTTAAAATGTTATAATTTCCACCTGATTTTTAGATCACAAAACCAGCTATTTTTATATACCTCAAATTGTAGCATTAAACTTTTTTTCCTAGAAAAAAAGTTGGCATCTTTTTCTTTGCCAATTTCATTAACCTTTCTGTTGTCAAATATGACCTTGGATATGACTGTAAAATGAAAAAAGAAATAACACTTCCTATAAATATGACAAATTTCCATAGTAGGAAATTATTTCCTTAAGCAGGGAAGAAGAGTTAAATCTCAGATGTGTCTAAACTTTGCTTTATTCAATATTTGTTTTGGATAAATTTTCCATGTAACTTGCTTGATGTCATGGCTAAAAACATCTTCAGGCAGGACCATAGATAAAATTATTCTAAAGGAATAGGCATATCACGGATTAAAATTCTACAACTTTCCTTGGCAATTCACTCAAGTTTCACAGCACTGACCCTTGGTAATTTCTCTCCTAAATTGAACTAAATTGCCTTGTCCTGTCCTTTAAGCTGTTTTTAATTCTATATTTGAATTTATGTAGGTAAAAGTCGGTGATAAGGAATGTGACATCATGGATACATTTAAACTTTATATCACTACAAAGTTACCAAACCCTTCATTTACCCCTGAAATCAATGCAAAGACGTCAGTCATTGATTTTACCGTGACCGTAAAAGGACTGGAAAATCAGTTACTAAGGAGAGTAATTCTAACAGAGAAACAGGTAATAGCTTCTCAAGGTAAAGAACTTCTACTTAGAATAATTTATAATAAATGTTTAAAATGTATTGGGAAATTGTTAAGTATATGGAAAAGAAAAAAATAAGCAAGACAAATTTACCTTTTTTTATTATTAAAGTATCATTGATATACAATCTTATGAAGGTTTCACATGAACAATACTGTGGTTTCAACATTCACCCATATGATCAAGTCCTCACCCTCTCCATTGCAGTTACTGTCTATCAGCACAGTAAGATGCAACGGAGTTATTACTTGGTAAGAGTAGCCATTTAGCTGAAACTAAATAACATATTAGTCTTCTCCATGCTGTACTGCTTTCCCTGTGATCTACCTACGCTGTGATTGTGAATTATACTGCCCCTTCATCCCCTTCTCCCTCCCCCCGACCCTCACCAACCTCTCCCCTTTGGTAACCATTAGTCCCTTTGGGAGTCTGTAGGTCTGCTGCTATTTTGTTCCTTCAGTTTTGTTTTGTTTTTATACTCCACAAATGGGTGAAGTAATTTGGTACTTGGATTTCTTCACCTGGCTTATGTCACTGAGCATAATATGCTCTAGCTCCACCCATGTTGTTACAAATGGGAGGATTTCTTTTCTTTTTATGGCTGAGTAATGTTCTGTTGTGTATATGTAGCACATCATCCTTATCCATTCATCTATTGATGGACACTTAGTTTGCTTCCATATCTTGGCTATTGTAAATAGTGCTGCGATAAACATAGGGGTGCATATGTCTTTTTGAATCTGGGATCTTGTTTTCTTCAGGTAAATTCCTAGGAGTGGAATTCCTGGGTAAATGGTATTTCTATTTTTAGCTTTTTGAGGAACCTCCATACTGCTTTCCACAATGGTTGAACTAATTTACATTCCCACCAACAGTGTAGAAGAGTTCTCCTTTCTCCGCATCCTCACCAGCATTTGTTGTTGCTTGTTTTTTGGATGTTGGTCATCCTAACTGGTGTAAGGTGATATCTCATTGTGGTTTTAATTTGCATTTCCCTGATAATTAGTGATGTAGAGTATCTCTTCACATGCCTGTTGGCCATCCTAATTTCTTATTTGGAGAAGTGTCTGTTCATATCATCTGCCCATTTTTTTAATCAGGTTATTTGTTTTTTGGGGTATAAAGGTTTGTGAGTTCTTTATATATTTTGGATGTTAACCCCTCATTGGATGAGTCATTTTTGAATATATTCTCCCATATGGTAGGATGCCTTTTTGTTCTCCTGATGGTGTCCTTTACTGTATAGAAGCTTTTTAATTTGATGTGGTCCCATTTGCTCATTTTTTATTTTGTTTCCCCTTGGCCAAGGAGATGTGTTCAGGAAAAAGTTGCTCATGTTTATATTTAAGAGATTTTTGCCTCTGTTTTCTTCCATGAATTTTATGGTTTCATGACTTACCTTCAGATCTTTTATCCATTTTGAGTTTACTTTTGGGTATGAAGTTAAACAATAACCCAATTTTGTTCTCATACATGTAGCTGTCCAATTTTACCAACACCATTTGTTGAAGAGGCTGTATTTTCTCCATTGTATATTCATGACTCCTTTATTGTATTTGAATTGGCCATATATGTGTGGGTTTATATCTAGGCTCTCTATTCTGTTCCATTGGTCTATGGTTCTGTTTTTGTGGCAGTACCAAATTGTCTTGATTACTGTGGCTTTGTAGTAGAGCTTAATGTCAGGGAGCATAATCTCTGCTTTGTTCTTTCTCCTCAGGATTGCTTTGGCAATTTGGGCTCTTTTGTGGTTCCATATGAATTTTAGAACAATTTGTTCTACCTCGTTGAAGAATGCTGTTGGTATTTTGATAGGGATTGCATTGAATCTGTAGATTGCTTTAGGCAGGATGGCCATTTTGACAATATTAATTCTTATCAATGAGCGTGGGATGTATTTCCATTGGTGTCTTCTTTAATTTCTCTCATGAGTGTCTTGTAGTTTTCAGGGTATTGGCCTTTCACCTCCTTGGTTAGATTTATTCCTAGGTATTTTATTCTTTTTGATGCAACTGTAAATGGAGTTGTTTTCCTGATTTCTCTTTCTGCTAATTCATTGTTAGTAGATAGGAATGCAACAAGTTTCTGTGTGTTAGTTTTGTATCCTGCAACCTTGTTGAATTCAGTTACTAGTTCTAGTAGTTTTGGGGTAGATTCTTTAGGGTTTTCTATGTATAATATCATGTCATCTACAAACAGTGACAGTTTAACTTCTTCCTTACTAATATGGATGCCTTTTATTTCTTTGTGTTGTCTGACTGCCATGGCTAGGACCTCCAGTACTATGTTGAATAAAAGTGGGGAGAGTGGGCATCCTTGTCTTGTTCCCAATCTTAGAGAAAAAGCTTTCAGCTTTATGCTATTAAGTCTGATGTTGGCTGTGGGTTTGTCGTATATGGCCATCATTACGTTGAGGTATTTGCCCTCTATACCCATTTTTATTGAGAGTTTTTATCATGAATGGATGTTGAATTTTGTCAAATGCTTTTTCAGCATCTATGGAGATGACCATGTGATTTTTGTCCTTTTTGTTGGTGTGATATATAATGTTGATTTTCAAATATTGTACCATCCTTGCTTTTCTCTAATAAATACAACTTGGTCATGATGGATGATCATTTTGATATATTTTTGAATTCAGTTTGCTAATATTTTGTTGAGGATTTTTGCATCTATGTTCATCAAGGATATTGGTCTATAATTTTCTTTTTCGTGGTATCTTTGCCTAGTTTTGGTATTCGAGGGATGCTGTCCTCATAGAATGAATTTGGAAGTATTCCCTCCTCTTCTACTTTTTGGAAAACTTTAAGAAGGATGGGTATTAGCTCTTCTTTAAATGTTTGATAAATTCAGTGGTGAAGCCATGTGGTCCAGGGATTTTGTTCTTAGGCAGTATTTTAATTATCAAATCAATTTCACTGCTGCTAATTGGTCTGTTCAGATTTTCTGTTTCTTCCTGGGCCAGTATTGGAAGATTATATTTTTCTAGAAAGTTGTCCATTTCTTCTAGGTTCTTCAATTTGTTGGCATATAATTTTCATAGTGTTCTATAATGATTTATATTTCCATGGTGTCTGTGGTGATATTTCCTTTCTCATTTCTGATTCTGTTTATGTGTGTAGACTCTTTTTTTCTTGATAAGTCTGGCTAGGGGTTAATCTATTTTGTTTATTTTCTCAAAGAACCAGCTCCTGCTTTCATTGATTCTTTCTATTGTTTTATTCTTCTCAATTTTATTTGCTTCTACTCTGATCTTTATTATGTCCCTCCTTCTACAGACTTTGGGCCTCATTTTTTCTTCTTTTTCAAGTTTAATTAATTGTGAGTTTAGGCTGTTCTTTTGGGATTGTTCTTCTTTCTTGAGGTAAGTCTGTATTGCAATGTACTTTCCTCTTAGAACTGCCTTCACTGTATCCCATAGATTTTGGGGTATTGAATTGTTGTTTTCCTTTGTCTCCATATATTGCTTGATCTCTGTTTTAATTTGGTCATTGATCCATTGATTATTTAGGAGAACGTTGTTAAGCCTCCATGTGTTTGTGGGATTTATTGTGTTTACATAATTTATTTCTAGTTTCATACCTTTGTGGTCTGAGAAGCTAGTTGGCACAATTTCAATATTTTTGAATTTACTGAGGCTCTTTTTGTGGCCTAGTATATGATCTATTCTGGAAAACGTTCCATGTGCACTTGAGAAGAGTGTGTATCCTGATGCTTTTGGGTGGAGTGTTCTGTAGAAGTCTGTTAGGTCCATCTGTTCTAATGCATTGTTCAGTGTCTCTGTCTCCTTACTTATTTTCTGTCTAGTTGATCTGTCTTTAGGTGTGTGTTCTGTGTTAAAGTCTCCTAAAATTGTATTCTGTTTCCCCCTTTAATTCTTTAAGTGTTTGTTTCACATATTTAGATGTACCTATATTGGGTGCACAGATATTTATAATGGTTATATCCTCTTGTTGGGCTGAACCCTTTTTCATTATGTAATGTCCTTCTTTGTCTTTTGTTACTTTCTTTGTTTTGAAATCAATTTTGTCTGATATAAGTACTGCTACTCCTGCTTTTTTCTCTCAATTATTTGCGTGAAATATCTTTTTCCATCCCTTCACCTTAATCGTTGTATGTCTTTGTGTTTGAAGTGATCTCTTGTAAACAGCACATAGATGGGCCTTTTTTTTAATCCATTCTTTAACTCTGTGTCTTTTGATTGGTGCATTCAGTCCATTTACATTTAGGGTGATTATTGGTAGATATGTACTTACTGTCATTGTAGGCTTTAGATTCATGGTTACCAAAGGTTTAAGGGCAGCTTCCTTAACTATTAACAGTCTAACAACTTTCTTATTATGCTATTTTAAACACAATATAAAGGTTCTTTTTTCTTCCTTTCTTTCCTCCTTTTTCTTCCTCCTCCACTCTTTATATATTAGATGTCATATTCTGTACTCTTTACATATCCACTGACTAACTTTGTGATTAGTTGATTTAATTTTGTACTTGCTTAGTAATTAATTGGTCTACTTCCTTTACTGTGGGTTTATTTTCTCTGGTGACAGCTATTTAACCTTAGGAGCACTTCCACTAGAGCAGGCCATTTAAGGTACACTGTAGAAATGGTTTGATGGTGGTGAATTCCCTCAACTTTTTCTTTTCTGGAAACTGTTTAATACTTGCTTCAAATTTAAATGATAATCTTACTGGGTAGGATATTCTTGGTTGGAGGCCCTTCTTTTTCATTGCCTTAAGTATATCATGCCACTCCCTTCTGGCCTGTAAGGTTTCTGCTGAGAAGTCTGCTGATAGCCTGATGGGCTTGATCCTTCATATGTGATCTTTTTTCTCTCTCTGGCTGCTTTCAGTACTCTCTCCTTGTTATTGATCTTTCCCATTTTAATTATTATATGTCTTGGTGTTGTCTTCCTAGGGATCCTTGCACTTCATGGGTCTCTGTACTTCCATGACCTGAGTTACTATTTCCTTCCCCAGATTGAGGATGTTTTCAGCAATTATTTCCTCAAAGAGACTTTCTATCCCTTTTTCTCCCTCTTCTTCTTCTGGAACTCCTATAATTGAATATTGTTCTCTTTGGATTGGTTCCATAGTTGTCTTATTATTCTTTCATTCCTAGAGATCCTTTATCCTCTCTGTGCCTCGGTTTCTTTGTTTTCTTGTTCTTTAATTTCTATTTCATTTATCATCTCCTCTACCTCATGTAATCTACTTTTAAATCCCCCATTGTATGTTTCATTTCAAATACTGTACTTTTCATAATTTCTATCTTTTTGTTGAAGTCCTCCCTGAGATCTTGATTATTTTTATGTAGCATCATGAGCATGTTTATGACTTTTATTTGGAAATCTTTATTAAGAAGCCTGGTGATTTCAGTTTCACTAATCCCTCTTTCTAGTGTTTTTTTCTTGTAATTTTGTTTAGATCAAATTCCTTTGCCACTTCACTTTTTTAGTGTTTATTATGGAATTAAAACATTTGTGTAGGCTGCATCCTCTAGTGCACAGATGCTCAGTTGCCTGTGCGGGAGTCCTGGTTGTTGGCTAGCAGTGGGTGTGGTGCCTTTCTGCCTTGTTTGTAGTCAGCTTGTGCATGGTCAGGTGTTGCACAAGAAGGGAGAATACTCTGTGGAGCTCCCAAGCACCTGCAGCAATGGTGGGTTTCACAGGCGAGTGGAACTGGTGCCTGCCAGGAAGAAAGCTCTTTTCTGCCTTCTCAGCTGTGCTGCCTGCCTCCACTGCCAGGGCCAGTGGACTGAGCATGCATGGAGGAATCTCTGTGCTATGCCCCTGTAGGTTCTGCAGTGGGGGCCACCCCCTGACTAGCCTGACATGATGGAGGGGGCAGCAGGTTTGCAAACCAGTGCCTGCCAGGAAGAAGGAGCGGCAGGCTGCGTATAGCAGTCTGGGGCCTCAGGGCTGCATTGCCAGCCAGGGGGATGGAGCATCTGAAGTTCCTGGAGTTCCCAACAAGCTGGAATGAGTGTGCCAGGATAATTTCACCTACGTGCCCTTTCTCCTGAGCAGCAAGCTCTTGTAATCTTTACCCCTTAGTGCCCCTCTTGCTGCTTGGAAGTCTTTCAAACTGCCTGCCTTTCTTTTGTCCCAAGGGTGCTGGTTGTGCATACCTGTTCTCCACAAGTGGCTGGAATTTCAGTCTCTCACAGTATTCTGCCCGTCCTTGCTTTCCAACCCCACTAATCTCCAGAGCACCATGTAATATGGGTCGTGCTCCTGGAGCAGATCTGCAGGGCTGAGTGTTCAGTAGTCTTGGGCTTCTACTCCCTCCTTGCCCTGTTACACTTCCTCCTGCCTGTGGGCTTGGGTATGGAGAGGGCTTGGGTCCCTCCAGATCACAGCTTTGCTACTTTACCCTTTTCTGTGAGGTCTTCTCTTTTTCCCAGATGTAGGCAGTCTGTTCTGTAGACTTCAGGTTGCTCTTTCAGGATTAGTTGTATTTGCTCTAATTTTGTGTTTTATCTGATTTGGGGAGGAGGTTTCTGTCTCACTTCTCACACCATCATCTTCCCCACCACCACCATATTTACCTTTGTTAACATAAATATTTGTTTTGCAGTCTCAAATGCTGTCAAGAAATCGTGAACCTAACTCACCTGTCCTCCAACCTTAAATGTACAAATGGGAGTGTTTGTGCATGCACACACACACAACACACACAACACACCACTCATACACACACACCATTCACACCACTTTTTCTATTTCTGCCTTTAAACCTTTGGGTATATTGACTTCCATATCTGTAGTCCTATGGATGGATAGGTTTTGTAAAACCTGAAAAATTAAATAAAATAATGATCCTGAAATTGCTCTGAATGAGTATTATTACTGTTGTAGTAGTTTCAACTACTACAATCTTATAACCTAATTACATAGGAAGCCATAGTTTTATTTTAATTAAATGAAATTTGCTCTAAAGCAGGGAACTAAATTAAGTAAATCTGAGGATTCTAACAAAACAAGAACAACTTAAAACTGGAATATTTTGAGACAGGTACAAGATTAAAATAATATTTAAGGTAAAGCTCAGAAAATATGTGTAAAATATACTTGCATAAAATATAATTCTATATATTTGCATATAAAGTGGATTTATGTAACATCTGAGAAAGTTTATTTTTGTTTAAATATAATTAATTGTAGTATTAAGGGTTCAAGGAACAGGCCAAGCCAGGAATAATAAGACCAGCGAGGCATAAAATGGGAGGGTGAGAAAATAAATGGCAAAAGGGGACTTGACAAGGCAAGGAAGAAAGGCAAGTGTTTTCAATAGATGGCCACAAACATTGAGAAAGGCTTTAAAAAAGGCATAGAGAATTGACACTGATACCAAGGAAATAGAAGTCTCAATAAGATGAGTAGAAAAGCCCTACGCGGCTGACTTAGGGCAGGCCCTCGAAAGGCAGCCAGTCTGACGGAGCGAAGGGGCTACAGTTCCAGCTCCCACTCTCTTTAGTTGTTTGTTCTTAGTTTCCAGCAAAGAGTGAAGGGCTTATAAAATCCAGAAAGGGATTTCCACAGCCAGGTAGAGAGAACATGGGCTCTTCAATTCATTGCCTCCATCACCTCTTAAGACCACCTGGTGTCAACTGTTGAAAATTAGTCTTTTCTTTATGGTCTAACTGGTGCTTTGGTCTGTTCAGAGGTGGTTCCTCCCTGGTCCAGATCTCTCATGCAGGCTGCTCTAGCTTCTGGAAGGCAGACCACTCCACTGTCTAAGGTAGGCTACAGGCCATGTCCCCAGAGTACCCCACACCCACTCTGTAGGCCTTACCTTTCTCTTCAAGACACATTAGGATGTTCATACCAGCCTTGCTGGAAAAAAACAAAAATACACCTCATCTGAAGGAGAACATCCTGACCATGGTGTTTAACCCTCCTAATGATCCTGCTCTTACACCCCCATTTTACAGATGAACAAATGGAGACTGGAGAGAATAGGGTTCATAACCTACAAGAGCACACATAGTTTTCCACCCTGCTGAGCCTCCTAGATAAGCTTTACAGGTCATGCTGTAAAACTCCCAAGTGTCCACCATACCATGATGCTTGCTTTTCCTTATCACACTGACAAGGATTTCATTTTGTCCATATATTCTTGTACTGCCACCCAGGGGTGACTATTTTGATGAAAATGATTCCTTAGCTATTCCCTTGCAACTATGTCCTTGATCTTCATTGCCACCCTGTCAAATACTGCAAACCTGATAGTACAGTAGCAATGTACACCACTGTTTGGATTTGGAGAAGAAGGGTATTATGCCTGTCTCTGTTAGTAACTAACTATTTGTATTATATGTATTATGTTATTTGGAGTTAATAATTCTGGGTCCTCAGCTTCCCCAAATAGAAAGTAAACTAAATTCAGCACGTTTCAAGTTAACAAATATTTGTTGTGTTGAGTTCCTTTTCTGCAAAGCCTCAAGATATGTGCTGCCAAAAATACAGAAATGAATACGACAAGTCCTCTTTCTAGACACCCTGAATCTAATTGGGGTGATATCATCTACACACAGATTATGATGCAGGCCACAGTAGATATACAGATGGATGTATGCTGTGGCTTTTGATTGACAAATTGAAAACTTTTGGAAAGTGGTGGAATTTGTGAAGCCATTTTCAAGAAACTTTCTCAAATGAGTAGTTTAACATAATTTAACATAATTACAAGTACAATGTGTAATTCTGTGTAATATCAGAAAAAATGCTACAAAGAGTGCTGTTGAGATTATTTCAATTCACTCTATATTTATCAAGAGTATTATATCCATGTTAAATTTTCTGAATTTAAAATTTGCACTAAGTTTTTAGGGGTAAAGAATCATGACACCTGAAAATGGTTCAGTAATAATAATAATAATAATAATAATAATAATAATAATAATAATAATAATAGGTACCATGTAGAGAGAAATAGTGATAAAGCAAAATGTTATCTAGTGAATCCAGGTAAAGGGCAGATGAGAGTCCACTGTATCAGTCTTGCAGCTTTTCTGAAAGTTTGAAAAGTTTCCAAATACAATTTAAAGAATGCATCATTTGTGTAGGAAAAAAACATACCTTCCAAACATCCAATTTAGTGCTTCTGGTAAAAGGAGATGCAAAACAATGGAAAATGGATTTGTGTTGGCAAGTGGTTATATGCCAGACCAGGTACCTGGTGTTCCTATAAGCTGGTCCCAAACCCAGAGCTCACATGCGGCTTGGGTGCCCTCTTGGTTTCTTGTTTTTAATGCCTCTTTGTTTCTCCCACTTTAGACTGCAAATGAAGGTTGTGTTGGAACAGGGCCAAAAGAGTGGGGCACTCTAAATAAGCCAAGAGCTGGGAAAGACAGTTGGAAATAATTGGGCAAAATTATTTTAGAAGGGTTATCTCATACATGCCAGTGTAAATGCTGTGGAAATTTAATGCTAGTGGGCATAATTTAAAAAAAAAATTGTCCAGAGAAACAAAAATACAGATGGATAGACTAGACTAATGGTAGTAATTTCTTCTGCCGCTCAAAAGGCACTTTGGTCTAAACTTTTAAAAATTGGTAATAAATACTAGTAAATTAGATTTGCCATAACAACTGGTAAGTCAGAGTTCTGATGTTATTGTTTCTTAATAATAGGAGTTAGAGTCTGAGAGGGTTAAACTTCTGGAGGATGTGACTTTCAATAAGCGGAAGATGAAAGAACTTGAAGATAACCTCCTCTACAAATTAAGTGCCACAAAAGGTACTGTGGGATTAAGAAGTGATCAAATAACGGATTCTGTGTAAGGATTTCTTGCCTTTTTTCAATGCCCTCATGATTACAGATGTTAGGAAATAGGTTATCAATGCAAAATCATTGTGAGGCAATTTCCATGTAGTCATCAAAGAGGAGCTGCATAGAATCTGATTTTTGAATTAGTGAACAAAGTCTGAGCCTTTGAGAATAACACAGTTTTCTTGATACAATTGCTCTCTCCTGAGAAAAATAAGGGCTCCCATTAGAGCTAGGTAACTCAGAATAGGCTAATTTGCTTGCCAAAAGGAAACCAAGGTGCTCAATCTATTTTTTTTTTTAGATTGACACTTTCATTTGGTGTTAAATGCAATTACCACAATGTGTTATGACGTGTATTATCTGTGTCAGAGGCACTGGAGCCCCCAAGGCCCAGCTCACTCTCGACTTGACCTCCCATTTATAGGTCAGGGATGGGTCCTCCTCGGGGTAGTCAGACTGTCCTACCACACTCTGATTTGGGGATGTACTTTGTCTGAATATATAAAACTCTTTTAACCAAAGAAAATAAAATCAACAAACACTCTATTGTTTTGTAGCAGGCAAATTACAACCACCTAAATTCTACTATTTATTAGCACTTTATGAATATTTCCCAACAGCATTTTAATCCATGGATTAAAACAAGATTTTAGCATTATGCATTAGTGTCACAACAATCTCTAGCACTACCTTTAAAGACCTCAGTCATCTGCCTTAACGGCACCCTTTTGTGCTGGGGAAATTCTGTCTCTTGGTGGCTTCTCCCGGCCTTTTGGATACCTTTGGGCATTCTAACTATTAGCACAGAGAGCTGAGTGTTCCTCCCTTGATCTGGCCAAGAGTGTGCTGGATCAAGATCTCTTGCAATTGGGCAAGAGGTTAATTGCAATTTCAACTTCGAGAGTAGACCCAGTATGCTCATCACAGTAACTCAGAACCTTCCTGTGGCACTTACCTGCCCTCCAGAATTCTAGGCGCCAGAGCACTGCTATTTGCAGATATTGTGACCATTAGCTCAACATGTCTGATGTGTCTTTATCTTAAAATTGAATGTTTTGTCATAGGTATGTTTTTTCTATTAAAAACAATAATGAAGGGTAAAACTAAAAATAAAACTAGGATTTTTCTCCCTGGTGAGACACTTGCATGTCCCCTAATTTACTCCTGTTGGAGATGCAGAGGGACCAGTGTTCTCAGTGGCAAGGCCTGTTCTACTAACATAGGAAGAATAGAGTATACCATTCATCTGCAAGTTGGTGGGTAGCATTCGGATCAGCTCACACTGTGAGACAAGCTAGATGGATGAGTTTGTGACACTTGGAGGGGAACCATCCAGATGATAGTGAAAGCCACGCCCTAGAAGGAACAGCAGAAACCACTGGGCCTGGCTGAAGGTATGATTTCATCTTCAGACATTTGAAGACCAGTCAGTGGGCTGCCTTGAGAATAACCTTTTGCAGATTTTCAGGCAGAATGGTGGTAACCCCTCGGCAGAAATGTTGGAAGGATTCAAGCAGGAGTTGATAATTAGACTAGAAGCCTTTCTGTGTCTTAAGACTGTGCCCTTTAGCCCTGTGGGCTTTGAAGAAGCAGTGTTGAAAGTTAACGGGATGATTTCAGAAATGATCTTGCCTTGTGGCTTCCCCATCTTGTTCTACAGTTTTCCTGTTTGAATTCTAGGTTCCTTGGTAGATGATGAGTCTCTCATTGGTGTCCTCCAAACCACCAAACAGACAGCTGCTGAAGTAAGTGAAAAGCTCCATGTGGCAGCAGAAACAGAGATCAAGATTAACATGGCTCAGGAAGAGTTCCGGCCTGCGGCCACCCGTGGAAGCATCCTCTACTTTCTCATCACAGAGATGAGCATGGTCAACATCATGTACCAGACCTCGCTGGCCCAGTTCTTGAAGTTATTTGACCAGTCCATGGCCAGGTGGGGCTTTGCTACCTTCCCCCCAGCGTATGAACTTAGAATTCTTGTTTGTACTCCTACTGTCTTAGAAATTGCTTTTTACTTTGATTTTTAAAATGTATTACAGATCTGAGAAGTCTCCACTACCTCAAAAGAGAATTACAAATATCATTGAGTATCTGACATATGAAGTTTTTACATACTCTGTCAGAGGCCTATATGAAAACCACAAATTCCTCTTTGTACTCCTCATGACCTTAAAGATTGATCTTCAGAGAGGAACAGTGTCGCACAGAGAGTTCCAGGCTCTCATTAAAGGTGAGGGGTTTGGAATATGGATGTGATTTGGAAAGGATATTGCCTTTGATATGCTCTGATGTACTGTAGACACGTGTTTATAATAGAGTAGAGAAATAATGTTCTAGTGAATTTGTTTATACCTCTGTTTTCCTGATTTGCATTCATTTTACTCTGGACAGGAAGACATTTCAGGTCTGTGTTAACTCTGTTAATTTTAGTTACATATTAAAATTAAGTTTGATCATTGTTGCCCAGGAGTAGGAGACCTGAATGGCAAAGGGGGGTGAAGTGGAGCTGGTGATGAGTTTTCTATTGCAAGAGAGCAATTCCTTGAGCAAAGAAGTATAAGGACTTTTAAGACTGTAAAGAAGAAACACTTGTATTTCATATTTGAAGTTCATCCTTTTCATTGTTTATCTCTATGTTAAAAAATGTAATGATGCAATCAAAAGAGTGGTATTTTTATTCAATTTAGTTAAATGAGTATTTATTGAGTACATACTATGCAAACCTACCTACCTTGCAAGTGTTTGGGATACAAGTATAAACCCAAAGCTTGCTTTGAAAGAAGTAACAGTCTGTAATATTGTTATTACAGAATATATATATTTAGTCTTTGTCTCCACTCTGGTTCTTAGCTCCCCAAACCCTTGGAATTTTCTAAATGTGGAGATTGCTAAAAGTGTCTCCTATGATGTTAAAGTGACTCCTGAGAATCACCTAAAGGTGGAGGCTGGTAGCCGTGGGAACCAACCCTATGATTGGAGGGTTAGAAATTGTAGTCTCACCTCCTGACCTCTGGGGAGGGGAGAGGAGCTGTAGGTTGTATCAGTGGCCAGTGGCCATCTTGCCTATATAAATAAAGCCTCCATAAAAACCCAAAAGGTAGGTGTTCAGAGAGCTTCCAGGTTGATGCTCACACATGGAGATGGGGAGAGTAGCATCCTCAGAAAGCATGGAAACTCCATGCCCTTTCCCCATACTTCCTACAATGCATCTCTTCATATGGGTATTGATTGGTATCCTTTATTTTGTCCTGGTAAATGTAAATAAGTGTTTCCCTGAGTTCTGTAAGCTGTGCTAGCAAATTAATGGAACCTAAGGGGGAGATCTTTGGAACCCCAATCTGTAGCTGGTTGGTCAGAGCCACAGGTGACAACCTGGAGCTTTTGACTGACATGTGGAGTTGGGGTGCAGGGGGTCGTGTGGGACTGAGCCCTTTACCTGCAGAGCCTGATGCTGTCTCCATGTAGACAGTGTCAGAGTTGAGCTGAATTCTTGCACACCTTACTGGAACCCCCTGTCAACACACACACTTTGGAATTGATCTCAGAACACCTAGTTTACAGTCTCATAATGGGGATAAGGATAATTTTAGAAATAATTGCAAAACAAGCCAGAATAACAACCTACATGTTAGAGAGTAAAAACAACATGTTACCTACATCTAAAAGGAGGGAGATACCAGGTGTGGTTGATGAGATCAATAAAAGCTCCTTGGAAAATACACTTTTGCAGTTGAAGTCATGAAGATTTCTTATTATATGATATGTGGGGAATATATTCCAGTCTTTTTCTTATGTTTTTTGCTTTTTGAATGTAGTTTAATTAATCATTTTCTGGCTGCCCCTCTGCCCCAGAGGAAGAAAGTAGCATTTGAAATGGACTCTGAAGGACAGGTAGAAATGAAGAAAACACTCCATGCTGAAATGGAACAGCATGAGGAGTGAGGGGAGTATGTAAATAGGTGAGCCTTAATTTCTACAGGAAGGATTTTCTTGATCTGCTAAGAAACAAGGAGTTAAGTAAGGTGGTAATGTGGTCCTTTGGGAACCTTTTATTGTCCTTTAGGAAGATTAGTCTGGCAGACAGGTATGGGATTAGAGAAGAGAGGTTCAATGGAGTCTGTTATAACTTTCCCAACCACAAGCAATGCATTCCCATCCTAGGACAAAGGAGGAATATGCAGTGAGAATATGCATGAGGAAACACGTGTGAGAGATCATGGAGGTAACAATGGCGCTGGACTGGATGTCAGAGGCAACAGAGGGGTCAGAAATGAGTCTGGGGTTCCTGGTTTGTACAAAGATGTCTGGTCTGGTTGGTTGAAAGAGGATCTAGTTTGAGAAGTGTCAGAGTTGGGGAATAATGAATGTGGCTTAATACAACAAAGGTATAATTCTCTCTCACTCTGTCTCCAGCATGCTTGCCGTGGTCACCCAAGAATCCAGATGACTATGGAGAGGAATAGGGCATGGCAAATTGTGTGCTGGCTCTTAACAGTTACCCCACAAGTGACACATGCCACTTATGCTTGTATTTCATTAACCAAAACAAGACACCTGGTCAAATCTAACTTCAAAGAGAGTAGGGAAATGCAGTTCTCCCATGTGCTTGCTAGAAGAGGAAACTGGATGTTTTTGAACAGCTCTGGTGGCTACACAGACATGTTGAATTTGAGATATTCAGGAGTGAGAAAGGATAGACCAAACAATTTAGAAGAAGTCAGACACCTGCAAAGATAGGACATTGAAATAGCAACCAAGGCCATAGGAATGAAAGAGAACATCTAAGAAAAAAGTGTATTTTTCAAATTCATACTGCAAGGTGTAGGACATGATACACTTTTATCCTCCACATTCTATTTGTAATAAACATGTAGTAACCATAACTTCTTATCACTTTACCCTTCTTTCTCTACTTCAGGTAATTTCTTCCTCAGATCCAGGTGAGGCATGGTTGCAGAAACTTTGCAAGAACTTTGCACCATCTCTGAAATGTCTTCTTTGATTTTTTGTTTCTTGTAGTTCAAAGGAAATCAGAATATGTAATCAGGTTCCTACTTTTTCTCAGATCTGATCCACCTGGAAAAGGTGTCTTCAATGACCTGTAGGAGTAAGGCAGCATGCATTGAACTAGGAACCAGGGAAACGAACTGGGCTCTGCCACTGACAAAGCACTGTGACCCCAGAGAGACATCCTGTGGCCCCTCTGTGTACAAGAGGATGTCAGGGCTCAGAGGGGAATGAGAAGTACCACCTGGGACAGTCAGGTCAGGCTGTACACTGTAAGGGTTTGTGGTTTCTGTGATGTTTAAATAAAATGAGCCATAAGTTACCAAATCTAGAAAGCTACTTTGACTCATTTCAGTCACCTTGAAACTCTTACTAGGACTTGAGGCCACATCCTCAGTCTTCGAGACACTGGACGGTGGCGAGGAAGGGACTGGAGCCTGTGGGAATTCAGGCAGCCGTGGGAGCAAAATGGGCCTCACAACTTAGGAAAGCCTAGCTGTGGAATGTGAGTGGGATGGGGAGAATACTTCTGGTTCTTTCCTTATCAGTGATCTGTCTTTTCTTCCTGAATCCCGCTGCCAGTGCGGCCCCAGGAGGGAAGGAGACAGATACGACATAGAAAGAAGTATGTCCCCTTGCTCCACAGTGCATCATGCGAAGGACAAGAGAGTCAGAGGTAGAAGCAGGTCAGACACAAAGATCCTTGTCTCCTCCCTGTCTCCTGTGGCAGAACCACAGATGAGTAGATGCTCAAGAAACATCCAGATAGGAGCTGCCCCTGCATTCTGCCCACTGCCACATCCATCATGGAGGCTCCCTGCACTGCAGCACATTAAAAATTAATGATTGTATAGCTCTTACTATGGGACAAGACTGTTCTAAGCTTTCTACATCTGGTGGCTGGCTGGATAAGCCTGAGGTTCGCCAAGGAGAGGAGGGTGGACAGCTGAACCCTGGGGTTCAAACCAAGAAGCTGCAGGGCAGAGGAAGTTTGTAGCTGGAGACAAGGGACCAGTGTCTGGGTAGCAGCCAATGCCCCTTTAGGTCAGACATGAACTGTAGCTCAGAGGCTGCCATACTGGGATCCCAGCCCACAACTGGGGCAAGAGACTGCGGATCCAAGGCGTCCTCTCCATCAAGACACAGTCGCACCCACCTCACCTTGCCCCACCCAGTAACCCAGCCAAACCAGAGCTGTTACCTGAAAGAGACTGACCCTTTGAAAGTGTGTAAATCAGAGGAGACTGAGAACCACAGCAGCACAATGGAGGAGGAATTTGTGAGGAGAATTAGATTTGTCACCGAAAAATCGGGAAGACTGCACATCTGGGTTGTGAATGAAGATGAAGAAGAGCACATCTGTGACCCCATTTCATAAAACTGGAGAGGCAGGGGGATCCAGATTGTACAGGGCCAGGAGAGCCAGTGAGAGGAGTTTGGATTCTATTTAGTTGGCAATAGGGAGCCATCGAATATTTTATGAGCAGGAAAGTAGCGTGAATAGAGCAGTGCTTTAGGAAGATTAATTTGGGATTGTATGACAGGTTGATAGAAGTACAATCAGCTCAGCAGTAAAAGAGTTTTTTTTAAAACACAAAACAAAACTGGCTTATTGTACAGTTTGTATTAGTTTTGAACTGGCCTACATATTGACCAAATTATATTTTAAAAGATGATCTATGACTTTGTTTTTAATGTTTTTTACAAAGTTAACAAATATGACCCTCAGATCATTGATATTTTTATCATTTTGAATTCAGTACTTAAGGGGCAAAGAAGAAAGACTTATTTATCAGAGTAGAAATGTTTGATTTCCCAAGAGTGACTGTCCCTTTCTGTCAATTCCTACTTGTTTTCTGCAATATTTGGAAGGTGCTTTGACTTTTTTTTTCAGCCAAGAATGTCAGAACACTTGGAAAAATGAAATATATACCAGGGGAAATCCTTGTCTATATAGTAACTGATATACATGTTTCCCCCTGCCTGGTTATTTTAGAAAGATATCATCTTTCTTTTGTCATCAACCATAGACAAAGACACCTGAGGGGGTCTGCTCTTGCCTTTCAGGTTGGATTGGACCTCAGTCTTCCAAAACAGAGAGAGAAAATTAATGATTACATAGCTCTTACTATGGGACAAGACTGTTCTAAGCTTTTTCTACATAAATTAATTTATTTAATCTTCACAGCAATCTGTTAGATTCTGTTAGTACACTCATTTGACAGAAGAGGAAACAGAGAAATTGAGTCCTTTGCCCAGTTATGTAGATAGTAAGTGGCAGAGCCAGGATATTTTGGGGAATAGGACGTGCTGTGATTGCTATGGGTTAGTTTAGGTGCCTGATATGTTCAGAAACACTGATGTAGCTTAAACATCCTCTCCTGATGTCTTTGAGGCTTATGGTCCCGTGAAAACATTTTTTCAGAAACAAGCATGAAGAGAAGGGATGAGTTGGTCTCTGTGTTAGGGAAGTAAGTCCTGTAAGGCTGCAAGTGACTCTCTCTAGTGGCTGCTTCTCCCACAGTAAACTCAATAGTAGAAAAGAAAAGGTGCTAGAGTAAAGCTTACCTTGCTCTCTGGGTCACAGCGGGGTGGGCTGTTGAGAGGGAGGATGGCACTTTCTAATGGTGTGTGACCCTCGGAGCAGCCGAGCCCCCTGGTTGAGTAAAGGGATTTATGTGAAAGAAGTACTTCAGTTCATTGACCTTCTCAAGAAGATGCTAGAAGGGAGGAGCAGACACCTGGAGTCCCTCCACCCTGCTCTCTTTTTTTTGCCCAAGGGTTGATAGGTGAAGTGGAGGGATTTGATGAGTTCTTCAGGAGCATTATATGATTTTAAAATTCAGGAACTGTTCTACATCCATCTCAGAGGTAGAAGCAGGTCAGATATAGACCTGGGATTATTATGATAAAACATTACTACAGATAAGCACTAGAGGAATTTTGAAATTATGAATATAGTCATGTGTCTTGGTGGACGATTGTCACACTGGGTATGCTCATATGACCTGTGATTTGCTTCACAATATGATCCAATGCTGTAACTCACATTTTCCACCAGTCTTCATGAGTACAGAGGCCTTCTTCAGTGTTGCTCTGGGAGGAGGGGGTTCCCCACTTCAGGTAAGTTCACTAGGAATTCACTGAGACCAAATACCAACCACAGAATGTTAGGGCTTAAAACAGGCTCATACCAAGCTTTATTCTCAGGGCAGTCACCAGCTATGTACAAGCAGCAAGCCCTTTTCTGTCTCCATCGCTGGTCTGGCTCCAGCCACAGGCAGCCTAGGTGCTGCCTCCACTCCTGTTTTGGCTTGTGGGTCTCTAGTCTCCTAGCACTAGGGCTCCACGGTGCTCTGCCAGCCTCCTGACACCATGTGTGACTCTGTGGGCTGGTCTTTACCATGACTGGAGGATGCCTGGCCAATTATATCCAGGTGCTTATATGATTCCTCTTCCGCCTTCCCCCAGGATAGTACTGTGACTGACAGTGTGCTCTGGGTGGCTCTGTCAGCTGGTAAACAGTTTTCTGCCAAGGTGTATGTAAGCACGCAATATTAGAATCAGAGGAGGTGAGAATCCTGGCCATAAAATTTCCATTTTCCCTATATTTGTTTTTCTCTGCTTTATCTTAAGTGCCTGGAATATGCCAGATACATAGAGGGTTCTCAGTAAATATTTGTTGAATAAGTGAATGAATGAATGACCTGAACATGAGTTACCTCTCAGATACCCACAGATATATTTTATCCCTCCATCTTTTACTTCCTTTCTCCATCTATCTATCTATCCATCTTTTTGACCTGGTGAAAAATAGCATTGGATTGCAGACTTCTGGAGGAATGAGAACTAAGAAGTGATGTTTAAAAGCACACATGAAAAGCTCAACCTATTCATTGATATTAAAATTGTAAATTTCATTAAATGTATTGTTTAAAAAAAACAATAAACAGGCCAAGAACCACCTGAGAAAAATCTTTGCACAAAAAAATGATGCAGAATTTCCATCACTCAGACTTAAAACACTCAGACTTAAAAAAAGTACCAAAAAAAGAGAACCACATTTTTTTCTGTAATGTGATTATTTTCCCAGTTTTCCATTTTTTTTCTATACTATGTAATACTATTATCTTACTTTTATTATTTGGAAAATAAATGTTTGAAAATGAAGCAGCAGCTGAGCTAACTGGTGCCAATGCCTTTCCCCAGGGGGAGCAGCCCTGGATCTGAAAGCCTGCCCTCCCAAGCCGTTCCGCTGGATCCTCGATATGACCTGGCTGAATCTTGTGGAGCTGAGTAAACTTCCGCAATTTGCAGAAATCATGAACCAGGTATTAAAGGGCTGGACACAAGAACGGATCTGTAAACCCAAACACACCCAGGCCATTTCAACTGGGGCCTCCTGGTAACAGTTTTTTCCCCAAAGAAGTCAAATCCATAGTGTAGCTTTAAGGAGCTGTGGCTCTGGGGGAGATTTTGAGTGGAGGGATGTCAAAAGGAAGCTTTTCATAGGTGCAGATAACTACCTTTTCCTCCTGGGTCATATATAAGCCTGCTTGAATTGCTGTCAGAACCAGGACCAATGTGTGGATCTTTTGTAGACTATTGATGTTTTTGCATTTTTGCTTCTGCCTATGATTAAGTGATTTGTGAATATTTGAATTCCAGGCACATTAAGAGGTTGCCGTCCTTTTTAAAAAATCATTTTAATGATGAAAATGTAAATGTGGTCAAAATGGTGAAACAGGTCCTGATTTACCTGTTGTTTGCTTATTTGAAAATATCAACTGGTTCATGTGGATTAGTTGTAGATTCAACTCTCACTGGAAAGCAATTACACACCTCAGAGTAAAGATAGCTGTTTATTACTGGAATCTGTTAGTCACACCAGGCTGTCACTGAGAGAGGGGGCTGCAATTTCCCAGTGCCAATGGCACGTAATCATCTTCTTTGCAGTTGCTGGTGATGGACAAATGGAATGATAGGTAGACTGCAAGTTGGCAGAGGCCTCATGCTGTCCTCTTGGGAGCCCCTCCCCTCCACACAAACCCACTCCCCACCCAGTGTACACAGTCTGTTCAGTGGTAATTCTGGAACATTATGTAGACTCTGCGTATTCCCATGGGTGGGTCAGAGCCAACTGGACAAAGTCCTTGGACTCCATCTGTGCTGAAGAGCAAGCTTTTACTGTAGTATAACCACAGATGGGTCCCCCAAGCCCCAACAAATACTTTGAAAAAAAAAGTAATCTCAGTCCAGTCGGAAACTGGGCCAGGGAGACCCTTAAGCATTGCTGGAGAGTCACTACAACCCTGTGCTCTCTGCTGATGGTTATCCTGATACAGGGATATGCATTGTTTGCGTCTGTCAATTAGAGCTTAAGTGCCCATGTTGTAGAATCTGCTAGCTACTATGATTACTATGGGATAAGTGCTTTGCAACAATAATAACTCTGCAAGGGAAATATTATCAACCTGGCTTGATAGATGTGAAAACTGAGATTCAGAAAGGTTAAGTACCCTCCCAAGGCCACATAGCCATTAAATAGTAATTGGCCCCAAGCTCTTACTCTGACATCAGGAGTTATTTCTCTCCAACTCCTTTTATCCCTCTGGATGGGCCAGAAGTGAGGGGAGGAGTTGTCAGGAAAGTTGCAAAAGTTCACTGGGGACCTGCCCTTAGGCAGCCATCAATTTGGCTTGTCTGTGGGAAGGAAGGGAGGAAATAGGAGGTCAGTCACCCAACTGAGTGGTGTCAGAAACTGAAAGAGAACTGGTCTCAAACAACAGCTGCCCTGCCTTGGTTTCCCTATGGTTTTACTAACAGGGAGGGCCAGGGAAAGGAGTGGGAAGAGGAGGTGGGCAGCCATGGGCTGGAAGTTATCCCCTTGCCCATCACAGATGCAGCTCTAATGGGGTAGAGTCAAAATTATAAGATGGAATGCCAGTAGGCTGGGAAAAAGCCCCCCTTTCTTGCACCTCCTTCCTCTTGTCACTAAGGTGGAGGAGCCCTGCAGGGGGCGCTGCAGGGGGCCGTGAGAAGGACCCGTGTCCCGGGGCGGGGCTGCCGCAGCACCCAGGCCCTGAGAGCTGTGCACCTGGCAGCTTTGGAACCAGTCAACAGGGGAGAGCCACAGCAATCGTAAGGTCTTAAGGCAGAGGATCACTAGAAAAATTTAAGTTTTAATTTTGTCATCTATCACTATCTTAAGGAGAGGTCAACATTTAGAAGTTTGGTTATCAGAATGGTCTATGTTAGTGGTTCTCAACCAAGGGCAACTTTGTGCCGCTCCCCAGAGAGCATTTGACAATGCCCGGAGATGTTTTTCATTGTAATGAGAACTGAAAGGGGTGCTGCTGGGGTCTAGCGAGCAAAGGCTGGGGTCACTAATAAACTCTCTACTATGCACAGGGCAGCCCCGCAACTAAAAGTGATCAGCACAAAATGCAGATGGCGCTGAGGCTGAGAAAGCCTGGTCTGTGTTTTTTTCCTGCCCAGTCACTGAGTGAAATTGATACATGGCCCTTATTTTAGTGAATAATGTAGAAAAACAATGGAAAAACTGAAAGGGAATAGTAATATTCATATTATTTGAGCCACTGATTCTGAAGAACAATGCGTTATCTGCCTGTAAAGAGAGCTCCTCTGAGACCATTTAGAATCCTCTGCAGTATATTTGATGGCTCGCTGATTGGCTTGTTTATTTTAGATATCCCGTAATGAGAAGGGATGGAAAAGCTGGTTTGATAAAGATGCTCCGGAGGAAGAGATTATTCCCGATGGATATAGTGATTCTCTGGACACCTGCCGCAAACTTTTACTTATCAGGTGAGAATAGGTATTATCAGACCTAGAAACATCTCTCATTATATTGTCAAATCGCAGATTTTAGCTCAGTGAGTTTTCTTCACTATGTCCCAGTAGGTAATACAAGAAATGTCTGTGCTTCCAAATTGCAGTTTGGGATGGCCATTCATTAGCTCCTTGACAAACAGTAGTGACAGTGGCAGGGAACTGGTGTATTTTGGCAATGTATTAATGATAGTTGCTTTTAGAAAAACACATATGAAAAATATGCTTATAGTAACATTTAATTTGTTCATCATTTATCTTTACCAAATGAGTGATTCATTTATTGTTGAGTTTACCTTTAAAAAAAAGTGGACCTCACAAAGTGACAAGGTAATTAGTTTTTAAGATGATATTCAATTTAATCTGAGAGGAAAAAAA